TACTCTTTAAAAATTTAATATATAGTTAGATATATAGTCTTCCTTTAAGGCCTAAGCTAGCTAATCTATAATTAGGCTAAGTTCTTCTATATCTTAATTTATTTATAATTATATTTTAAAGATAATACCTACTAAGATTATAGCCCTTACCTCTACTTAATCTACTATTATTCTATTAATACTTAAATAAGCCTCTAGATATAAAAAATAGTATTAAGTACTTTTTTATCTAATAAATACTAAGCTATATAATAACTTCTATACTTAGTAGAATAAAATATCTTATGCTAAAGCCTATGTAAAAGAGGGGATTAAACTAAGATAGGGATTAAGTAATTAAGTAAAAGTATAAGATTATTTTATAAAGATTATAAGTATCTCTTCTAGTAAACCCTTATATTATTACTAAGTTAATAGGTATAGAACTCTACTTATTTATCTAAACTTTCTAAAAAAAAATAGGATAACTAATCTTTATATTTATATAAAGAAATATAATAGTTCTTATAATATCTATAAATTAGATAGGAATTTATAATAATATTTTATTATTAAGGTTTAGCCCTTAATCTCTTATTATTAGATTCTATACTAATTATTAGGATTATATCTATACCCTAGAGAAATAGATTAACTAGGTCCTTTAATTTATTATTATTTATTAACTTCTCTTTTACATAGTTAACTATATCTAATTTAGATATATAATTTAAATAGTAAATCTAAATATATATATTCCTACTTATATAACTCTTATAGAGTAACTCTAAGAACTTACTCTTATTAGTTACTTAGAACTTATTATAAAATTTTTACTAAAGAGTAAAATCTCCTTAGCTCTTAACTACTAAATAAATCCTAACTATAAGTTATTTCTTATTATTACTACTTACTTTATTAATAAAAGCTTTAAATTTTAAGAAATACTTCTAGGATTTTATTTAATTAAGGGTAAATATATAGGAAACTATCTTACTAAAATAGTTATTAATATTCTTTCTCTTTATAATCTTTAATCTTATATGCTTGCTATCACCACTAATAATATAAGTAATAATATAAAGATAATAAAAGTATTACTAAATAAGATTAAGAAACTACTAACTAAACTTAAGAAAGGGCTAGGACTAAGTTCTTTTTAATAGATAATTTTTAATTTATAATTAATAAGTATACTCTAGTTATCTTCTTATTTAATAAGATAAATTATATAAAAGATCTAATATATACCCTACCTAGCTTATATTCTTTAGCTTATAGTAAGAGCTTTTCTAACTTAGTTAAAAATTAAATTAAAAGATAACTAGATTAAAAAGTAATTAAATAATAATCTATAGCTTTATAGCCTATCTAGCTTAAAATAATCTCTTAAGAAGGTTTAATATCTAGAAATCTCTTATTATTAGATTTCTAATAATTTTTTCTTAATAGATTCAGAAGATTATGAAGTTTATAAATATAAGTCTATAATACTATAATAAGTTTATTTAAATTTAAATTAATAAAAATTAATAATCTTAAATATACCTTCTTCTATAAGATTATAAAATATAATAAAATTTAATATACTTAATGCTTTACTATATACTAAAACTAAAGAAAGAGATAAATATCTTTATTAATACTTAGAAGAAGTCTATTAAGTATCTTTATCTCTTAGATACTAAGTAGAAGTATCTTAAATATTTTATTAAACTTCTTTATCTATTCTATACCTTTATAATAAATCTTTTAATATCAGGACCTAGTATATATAATATATATATAGTCTATAATATCTTATTTACTTATCTAAAAAATATAAGTAAAAGGTTAGAGAAAAAAAGGAACTCTTAGAAAAGATATCTTATTAAAATACTATAAATAGCCTTTATTAAGCTAAAGAAGTACTATAGCTATATATACTAGAAAGAAGGATATATATATATTATTATAATAATTCTTAATTTATTCTAGAAGCTATTAATCTTTTAGGATAGCTCTTAGGTAAAGAAGTAGATTAACTAGTATAAAAAGTATTCTATAGTATTTAAGAATCTCTTTTATTATTATTATCTTCTATATCTTAATAATACTATCTCTTCTACCTAGCTAAAGTAAAAGGAAGGCCTATAGCAGGCTATCTTTAAGATCTAGAAATAATAATAAAAATAGTTATCTTAGTTAAGTTAACTTTATCTAGAATTAGAGATCTATCTCTAAGAAGATATAATCTCCTAGCTTACTATTATTAAATTTAATATTAAGAGATTAGGTACTAAAGTCCCTAGGAATATAGATATCTTAGACTAGTAGTAATAGAATACTAGATAATTTCTAATACTAAATTATATAGTATTAGACTTTCTAGCTATCCCTTCTAGTAGTATTAATATTAAATAGTTTTTTAATAGTACTTAAGATATTTATTATTACTATTATACTTAATTATATATATCTACTATTAAGTTAACTATAATCTAGATATATACTAATAAGTTTACTATTACCTAAGACTATACTAAATTATATAATATCTCTAAGTCTAAGGAACTACTTTAGAACTAGAATCTATATTACTACTATAATTAGTTAGTAAGTAAGGTAGATAATATAATAAGGGTAATATATATTAATAATAAAAAGAATTCTAATTTTCTTAATAATAATACTTTTACTTTCTTCTATAATATAGATAGTAATAATAATATTAGATTTATAATTATATTATTACTCTTTAACTAAGTTATATCTTAACTCTTTAAGCTAGTTATATCTTAACTCTCTAAGCTAGTTATACTTTAACTCTCTAAGTAAGTTATACCTTAACTCTCTAAAGTAGTTATAGTTTAATTCTCTAAGCTAGTTATACTTTAATCCTCTAAGTAAGTTATACCTTAACTCTTTAAGCTAGTTATACTTTAACTCTTTAAGTAAGTTATATCTTAACTCTCTAAGCTAGTTATATCTTAACCCTCTAAGGTAATTATATCTTAACTCTCTAAGTTAGTTATATTTTAACTCTCTAAGTTAGTTATATCTTAATACTTTAAGCTAGTTATACTTTAACCCTCTAAGTTAGTTATACCTTAACCCTCTAAGCCTTAATCTACTAAGACTACTAAGCTTACTAAATCTATAAAGCCTAAGAAGCCTATAAAGCTTATAAAGTTTATAAAGACTCTAAAATCTATATAGCTTACTAAGTCTACTAAGTTATAGTCTCTAGCTTCTATATATTCTCTTTATAATAGTACCTATCTAGACTAGAGTGGTTAAACCCAACCCAAGAACCCGAACCCAAACCAGCCCGAACCCGCCATGGGCCGGGTTCAGGTTCAGGTTCTAGGGCCCATGGGCCAGTTGGGTTCTAGAATTAGAACCCATCTAGGGTTCAGGTTCTAAAAATGGGTTTTAATTATAATACCTAGTAATTAGAATACATTAGATTCTATACTAATATGCTATATTTATATATATAATCATATTATATATATATATATATACTAGATACTAGTATGGTATTGAAAAATTAAATACATACTAACTAGATTAGGCAGGCGGAGAGTGATTTTTAGGCTCTTTGGGTTCTATTTAGGTTCACTACCCTAGAACCCGCGGGTTATGGGCTGGGTTTGGGCCCTAGAAATCTAGAACCCGAACCCAGTGGGTTGGGTTCTAAAGATAGGGGAACCCGGCCCAACCCGTGAAAATAACCACCCTAATCTAGACTATTATAAGGTAGCTAGCCTCTAAATTAAATTTTTAATTATTTAATTATTATATATTATTAAATCTCTTAATGCTAGATTCTAGAAACCTAAAGATAATATATCTAAAAAATATAGTTATTAATAATTAGTTTCTTACCACTAGTTACTTTAAAGACTAATAGATATAGAAAATTAGTTAATTAGATAGATTTAGATAAACCACTAAGTCTATATACCTACTAAATTCTACTAGTTATATATACCTAAATAGATTATCTATACCTATATAGATTAGATATCATTCACCTATATCTATATAGGTTAGATTAGGGCCAACCCTTATCCAACCCACAGCATGGATTAGGTGGGGTGGGTGTGGTTTGGTGGGGTGGGTAAGCCAGTCTAACCTAGACCCCACAAGTCCTGAGTCCTGACTCCTGACTGCGCAAAGTCTTCAATCTGACATCGCTTGGATGGATCGGAGTAGCATTTCATAAGATGGCACATCAAGCACACAATATCCCATGGAGCCTTCTGGCCTCAAACCTCCACTGGGGCACAATTTCTTGTGGTGACCAAAGCGTCACAAATCTCCGCCCTACCATGAAACCTGATCAGGGCAAGGAGCTCACTTACTTTATCAAAGCGTTTATTTGAACCATCGACGAGCATTCAGTATCCGAGCGCAAGAAATTTCCCTCAGTATACAGACCAGCCGATCCAACAGAAGTTATTCTCGACCCAGCCACCGTTCAGAAATTTCCCCTACCGTCCGCTGATGGCGTAGCTATGGCTATGGCTTCAGTGGCAGCTGCCCTAGTGAAATTTGTGAAGTAGACCAGTACAAAGAAGAGTGTCAATGCGTCCCCATCCCAAATGAAGAGCGAATGGCGCCCGCATTTCTCCGACCCCCTGGTTCGAGACATTGCTACCAGTTCTGGTTTCAGAACTGTGAAGCGTTCTTCAACATCGAAGTGGTGAAAACTTTACTTCTGCATGGGGAGATAGACACTATTCTGCGCGTGTGTGCTCTGCCTGGAGTGCGTCTAGAACAATGGTGGTGTGACAGTGAATGCCAGTGTATGGTGAGTGAGTTCTATGTAGCAATGACATTTAGATGCGTGCTTGGTTGAGACAAATTCTGGTCATTATGTATTCCTATTTTGTTAAAATGTCCTGGCAATGTCGCGTCTACATACTGACTAACACAGCACCCTGTCCTCGGATGGGACCAAGGCCTACATATGTCTGAACACGATCTACTGCTTCCCAAAGATATGGGACGACGCTTCCGGCAGAACCGCGGCAATGGACTACCGCAACAGCAAATTCTACCAGTACACACTGAGAACATGCACGGGCACAGGGCAGACATCAGAAGTGAGCACATACCCGCATCGACAATTCTTCGGGATAGGCAACAACCAATTTAAAGGCGAATACTGTTATCCGAAGGTCAGAAGCACACACTGGCTACGATGGGCGGATAAGAAGCTTCAGGATGATAGATGGCATTATTCTCGTCGGGCCGACCATTATGGGAAGGTGCCCATTGATGAGTTCCTCACCCTGGAGAATGAAACGTTTGCAGGTCATCAGCCAGGCTTGTCCGACGTGGCACTTGTTCAGGATTACTTGTGTCGGAAAGGTCTGCCGGCGGAGCTGGTGTTGAACGTCATGGAGCTCGCTGGGTATGAGCCGGTAGGACGATTGAACGAGCCACATGATCCGTTCCACCCATCAAATCGCAAAGAATTGGCTCAGTACCTCACATATTGTTGGCGACTGCTAGTCCACTGCGACGTGATGGCCAAGGCTCTTGGCATGAAACTTCCATGGGAAGAACTTCTCGGCGACTGTATCGCTGACTTCTGGGCTGATGACAGCCGCGGTGCTGGGAGATTCTTTTGGTATACACTGGATGAGTACAATGTCAGGATGCACAAAATTTTCGTCAAGCCTTGATCCGTGGCTTCGAGGCCATGAGGCTGAAAATTACGGTTATTGGGATCGAAATTGGCCCCCACCTTTCTTGAAAGCCAAGGAATTCAAGGCACAGTGTAGGAAAGATATGTAGGTCGGAAACAGCTGTGGGGACGACGGAGTTGAGAGTGACGGTGGAGCTGATGTTGAGGAGGCCGAGGAGATAGCATACTGTCATTGAGAAGGATGGAGTACGTGGCGACAAACTGACCAAATAATACCGAATCGTCCTCGCAGTCACGCTGCCAATCTGCCTTTCATATAGTGCCGTTATGGGGCTGTGAAATGATTATGGAATTGCAGGGGGATGCTTGTCAAAAAGCCTCTGTGTCTCATAGCGCCGGTTGCTGTAATACTTTGTTCCGAATATTATGTATTGCTTTTAATTAGTTTGGCCTTGTACCAATCAATCCGGTTGCCTTCAATGGAGGACCCCGTTAGAGCTTGCGTGGGGTCATTGTTGTTCATCTCTCTTGCGGAAGGTAAGCATGAGGACAATGTGGGTTGCAGTTTAAGGTGGTTAGGGAGTAGGGTAGGATAGTGCTTAAGGAGTTGAACTTTCTCTTGGTAATAATTTGAGACCTTGCCTAACTTTTCCGAGACCTTGCTGAACTGCATGCCCGGGACCATTGCGGCTGCATTCGTGGATCACGTACATTCTTGGGCGTCTGTAGTGATAAAGTCATGTCGATCGCCGCAAGGCTCTTCCTGCAGACTCGAAAGGTCCTCACGCGCGGCATGGCCCTGCAACCCTGTGCTCTTCTAGATCGCTTGACAGAGGTTCCGGACGCGGTATGTTGCTGGGACGCAGGAGTGGGCGGAGATGGGGTCGATGCGGTTGCCTTATTCTGTCACGTACAAGGACAATAATGAGACTCTGCGGTATACGGATCATGAGATGACGTTCCAGCTCGCGGGTATCCTAAACGAGATGAATGGGAATGACCCTCGGTGGAAGATTGACTTTATTCCGTGGATCCAGCATCACCCTAAGGAGCTTATTGCGCAGGGGACTCGTACCCATTCTGATGGCCGCATTCCCACTCGTGCTGAGATCGAGGCGGACCCAAGCCTAAACGACGCGCCTGACATGTCCATCAGGACTGCTCTTGACAAACTGCGTGTCACGAAGTCCATCGCGATCCATGTTTGCAAGTGTCTCCTTCTCCAGTTCAGCAAGTTTATCAGCTGGCTGGACACGTAACATTCCACTGTTTACGAATAGCCTCCGGTCGTCTTGGTCGTTTCTTTCTGAGATTCCGCGTTTGTTGTCACAGGCCACCCATGCCTGTTGACTCTCCAGGGTGAGGTGTTGGTAGTGTAGTTCCGTCCCGTATGATGCGCGAAGCTAAAATCATATAACTATTAACTTCTTCTACCCAACTTCTTTGTAAATCATAAGGCTCACAATCTTGTTTAGATCCACTGATGCAGCTTGTGCATCCTCGCCCTCTGGGTCATAGCCTGTCTTATCATATTCGTTGCGATCACATATTGTCGCTGTATAGCCTGTTTCCAGATGTTATCGTCGCCTCTATTTTGTTCGTCTGGACACCGCTCTTACCTTTGCTTCGCAGCGCGACAGCCAGCGAGAGGCCGAAAATCCCGGCGACGGACTTGTTAATTGATCCCTTGACACTGCATATAGCGACATACGTACCGCCGATAATGGCCACTGACTTGTTCTCGGTTACTTGCATTATGAAACCCGGCTGAGGGGTAGTAGTAATGGGGGTTGTCTGCTTTAAAGTGATCCATGCTCAGCGTTGATCACGCAACGCCCCAAGGGTAGACTGGTTGTGGATTGGATCTGGATTGATCCGCACTATTTTTGATCCAACCCATGCAGATTACTACGGAGTATATAAATATTATACCATATCTATTATATAAGGTAAAATAGCCTTATATAGGGGAGTAGGGGTTATAATGTTACAGCCTACCTTGGGATGGTATGTCTCTTGACGCCTTACAGAGTGACGGAGCTTCTCTCGCACTGAATCCAGCACCTCTCCGAAGATAGGACTCACGGGACGCCCCTCGAAGCTCCTAAAGGCCAACTCGTTGGCCTTGGAATAAGGACGCAGGTCCCAGGAGCCCCATGCCTCCGGGCACAGGTAGTTTACCCCCAGAAACAGGCGAGCAGACCCAGGAACAGTGGGAGAGTATCAAGGTTATACATGGAGCATACACGATGAGGGGAGGAAAACGAAGTGGGGGAACATAGCTTATCGGGATTTCCCTGAACGTGAGAAAGCCTTTTTCTTTTCCTTCCTCACGCTACGTTAAGAAATCTCGCGGGTATCATACATGAAATCTGCAGATCCGACCATATATCCCTCAAAGCGGCTTGCCGAGACAGGTTTCTCCACATTAGCAGGGTCAGCCAGCCAAGCCACTGCGCATAGGTACTCCTCCACAATAACGTTGGTCTTATCCACAGGCAAGTCTGCGTCTGCGTGGTAAATGTTGCAATGCATCACATTGCCATCCGAGAGACGGGGAAGCCACACCCAGCGCGTCCGCGACAGACTAGTATCGCGGAGCAGCTCGAGTGCATCATCGGCACCCTGGCTATATGTCTCCAGCAGCCAGTCAAAGAGCTGGGTAGTCAGGAGATCCCAGAGGACTGCTGCGTCTTCGGCTCCATTGCGTCCCTGTGACACCAGTTCATGAACCCGTTTGATAGGGACGTGCTCATGGAGCATCATTTCATCCTGTTCCTTTCTCACTCTGTTCAGTAGATCAAGGACGGAGTCTTCTGGTGCGACTGGGATTCGCGCGGGGAGGTTCTGCAATGTCGGCCCGTCAATTTCGAGTACAGAGATGTTGACGTCGCCAGGGTCATACTCAGTAGGCCAGGATCGGCCGGACTGAAGATTGGTGATGATGGCTTCGCGTGCTCCGGTGTATCGGACGTTGATCAATGCACAGGCGGCTAGGGCAATGATTGGGGCGGAGATTCCGAACCGGGAGCGCATCTGTGGAAGTTCGGGCAAGTGGATGAAACGCTTTGGTAGAGTATCGGGGTTGGCTCTCGCAGGGGTGACGTTGGTACTGGGCTTCACTGGGGGGCTGTAGTTCTCATCAAGCTTCTGAAATACGCGGTGGATATCCCAGACCGCATCTTTTGCGGAGGCAATACCGCTTAGTTTGTTGACGAAATATTGAATAGACTCCTCTGCGTCAATTGTAGATTGGTAGACTTCGTAGTTTGCAACGAATTCACGGTAAGGATACCAGTTCAGCTGGGGTTGTCCGTCGAAGAGATGATTGAGGTCGCGGATCCAGCGTTCCATCACCATCCCATCAAAGAGAACATGATGGATGTGCATGATCAGTCCACATCGCGACGCGTGACGGAGGGGTAAAATGGTCATCTTGCAAAGGGGACCATAGCTTGAATCAACGAAATCATCAAGCTGGTAGTCGGCGACTCTATGCAGGTCATCAACCTCCGGGCCGAAGATGATCTGTTGCCTGAGCCACGATTCATTGGGTTGCATCACCGCGTAAACAGGCGGCTCATCCCCGACAGTTGCGACCACACTACGCAGTAGCTCGTGTCGTCGTAGCCATGTCTCCAGGATGACCGCGACTTTGTCTGGGCTTACATCACGTCGGACTGAGAAGTCGATACGGAAATCCCAGACCCCCGGAAATGGCCGATCGACCGCTAACATCCGGAAGAGATCAGTCATCGGGACAAGCTCCTCAATATCGTCCACGTGTAATTCCAACTGGATGGCCACCCGCTTTTTCTTGATGGCCATCATCGTTGTAGTCGCTGATTCAGTTGGTGGCGGAGGGCTTGGGCGTGGGAATTGAGTCCCACTGAGCAGCTGGGCTTGTTTTTCGATGGTGTTGGCAGTCAATAGCTCCTTCAGTGTGAGCTTCCATCCCTTCTGCTTGGCCAACTGAACGAACTGGATCAGCATTGTGCTGTCGGTAAAGGTGCGAATGGGCATGTCCGGCTTGAGGTCCTGGGGATCTAACCCGGAAACGGAGGACCAGCATGCCGTGAGTTCCCCGGCGATATCGTCATTTGCTGCAGAGGTGATAGAAGAGGTAGTGAGGACAGTACTAGACTCCGAAATACTCGGGGTCTGTGTGCGGGGCGATGTCTGTGTAGTGGTTCCCCCAAGGTGGTCTGCTACCCATTCCTTGACGACATTCTTCTTGATCTTGCCCGAGGTGGTAGTGGGATATTTCTCGCGGCCAAGATCATGTTGGAGATGGAGAATGCACTTGGGCGAAAATGATCGGCCCATCTCTCGGACCACTACAGACTGAAGCCCGAGGTAAAAGCTTCGATCTTCATGATGGAATGTCTCGATGACGGCCACTGGCACTTCGCTCACGATATCATCGGGCGCTCCCACCACGACGACACTGGCAACACCTGGCTGGCCAGCAAGACATTGCTCGATCTTCAATGGGGAGATATTCTCTCCGGCCCGAATGATCAGGTCCTTAAATCTCCCCAAGAGATAAATATTCCCGTCATCATCCATGTACCCGCGGTCCCCTGTCGCGAACCAGGGCACCGTTCCCTCCTTGTAACAAGCTGCATTATCCTCTTCGCTGCCTTGGTAATATCCGTCGAAGATAGGATAGCCTCCCTGGTGCAGCTCGCCGATTTCGTTTCTCTGCAAAGGTGTCCTGCTTCCGGGAGCGCAAATACGAAGGTGGGACCCCGCCACGGCTGATCCCAGACATATTTCATCGCCGTCTTGTACATCCGTAACTCGTGGATCATTCACATCCATAACATTGTATAGCGTCGCGACTCCTTCAGTCGTTCCATAGCCCGCGACAATCCTGCTTGCGCCGAGCAGTCTGCACTCCCGCAGAGCCTGCGGGGTAATAGGGCCTCCTCCGAGACAAATTCCGTACGGTGATGCAAGGTCTTTCTCTGCGACCATCGAGTATGTGTGCATGGCATGGATCATCGTCGTTACTGCGGCGATCCAAACTCGTGAACCGAAAGTAAGACCTTCAAAGGTTGCGGCAGGGTTGAATTCGGGGCTTGGGATCACAACGGTTCCACCAGCGACCCAGAAGGCCAGGTTCATAGCAATGTTGAAAACATGGAAAGATGGCAAGTGCTGGCAGATAATATCCTCACGAGTGAGCGACCAATTATCTGCAAGGCCGAGTGCTGGGGTCACGATGGAAACAGATGTGTGAGGACAGATCTTTGGGCGCGAGGTGGTGCCACTAGTTGCCAGCATAAGGATTGTATCATCGCGGTTCAATTCATACAAAACAATCTCGGATGGATCAGGCTCATTCATGATTGATGATAACCTCCTCCAACCGCGCGGCAGAGCCTCCCGTTTGTGCCCGGCCGTCACGGGCGCGACAATGCCCTTTAATAGTACCTGGGGCATCAGTTCTTTGTTGAGTATCTCCTCCATGGATTCGGCCATGGTGAGGTTGGAGACAAAGATTACCTCCACCCAGATCTTTCTCAGCAGATAGACTGCTTCGGACGGGGTGTCGAGCAGTCGAGGATCCAAGGGAACAAAGTGGCTTCCCAGCCGTGCACTGGCAAGGAACAGGAGAGCCCATTCTATCTCATTATACAAGAAGGTAGCGATGCGACTGCCCTTTCGAACGCCTGCAGCTGCGAGCCGATGCGCCAGACGGACACTGCCATCGCGGAGTTRCGAATAAGTCCAGCGCAGGACACCGACGTCAAGGTGGTCTTTCTGGTGAAGAGACACCACGGCGGTATCATTGGGCTGTCGTTGAGCAACTTTGTCGACTGTCGTTACGAGATTATCAGCTGGCTCGCGCTGACGTTCATCTTTGGTCTCTGCGACCATCTTGGGCTGCATGATGGGTTCAAATTAGTTTTCTCAGCCGGTTGGAAAGAGATGGAGATATAAACAGGTTGTCGATAATGAAATGCCCTTTCAAGAAGCACGATCCCGTAACTTCCACTCGGGGTATAATCAAAGTAGGACCTGTTAGATACAACTGTTGGCGGAAAAAGAAAGTATTACCCCTGATGCACTGGGATGACTGACTTGGAATCCCCTAAACAAAGTGTGAAAGATGCGAAGCCCGGTCGATCACTTACCAGTTCGAACGAAGCATTGATAGTCGTTTCCCGAATAGTTCCTCTCTCCGTACATACCTGCTCCTTGTGTCTATTGGCTCTCTAATTCTGTTTGGTTCCGTGATATGATAGTGCCCGGCTATCAGCTCAATAGCTCACCAGAGTCTCTGCAGCTGAATAGTGTTCTCCACTACGGAGTAGTGATGTAAAGTAAACAACCTGTAAGATCGGCATGGGTGTGGAAAAGCAAAAACCCATAGTGTGTGGATCTGGTCATCTAGAGTTCTAAACTACGGACTTGGCTTATTTTAAACTTTCTGATCGCAGTCTATACCAAACTATAATTTACACCTTGTCCCGTCTAGCCTATTTTGGGCTGTTTTGGCGGGCTTTGACGAGGTGTATACGATTCAGAAGGCAAGGGGGGGGGGGGGGGGGGGGGGGGGGGGGGGGGGGGGGGGGGGGGGGGGGGGGGGGGGGGGGGGGGGGGGGGAGTATTCAGGATCTATGTCTCCAATTCGGAACAACATTTCCTGCACATACAAACGCCGCACACTGCACCTCGTGTTTCCATTTTAGGGGGTGTGAATCCCAACCACTTTAGTCCATTGCCTATCCGGGGATTGCTGAAAAATTTCCCGCATCAGCGGTGGAGAAACTGTCAGCTCCCTTGGTGCTGAGCGAGTGAGGTCGAATTACAACACTCCCTACTTGAGAAAGACTTGATCGTTTGGCCTTTCGAATTAAACATGGGACAGATCGTGCTTGACAAACTGGCAAAAGTGCCTCGATGTCTGAGCGAATCTATAACCCGCTCCAAGGCGGAGTATCGCAGGCTGGGGAGCTCAGGCCTGCGAGTCTCCAATCCTATCCTCGGCGGACTGAGTTTGGGCAGTTCTCGCTGGCTTCCCTGGGTCCTGGATGAAGACAAGGTATCTAATAGGTCTTTTACCCTTTCAGCCACCCTGTAGGACCTCTACTCACTCCTTTCTAGGCACTGGATATCTTGAAGACAGCTTATGATAGCGGAATAAACACCGTACGTTAACTTCCCCCGTATGCTATTCGGGTCATGGTTAACCCAACCGAAGTGGGACACTGCAAATGTCTACTCAAATGGCGAGTCTGAAAGAATCATCGGGCAAGCCCTTCTGAAACACAAGATCCCTCGTCAGAAGGTCATCATCATGACGAAGTGTTATCGGGTGCTCTGTGACCCTGAAAACCATGACCCTGGCTCGACAGTCACCATGCACCATGCATTAGCAGATTCGAGCAAGGATTACGTGAACCAGTGGGGTATGTAAGCCTTTCCTTCTGATCCATGAGTTCCACATGCTTATCTCCTATCAAGGGTTATCACGTACTGCCATCTTCAACGCAGTCGAAGGGTCACTAAAACGTCTGAATACCAGTTACATTGACGTCCTTCAGATACACCGTTTTGACCCGACAGTACCGCCTGAAGAAACTATGCGCGCCTTGGATGATTTGGTGAGGTCTGGCATGGTCCGCTACATCGGTGCCAGCTCAATGTGGACGTATCAATTCGCCACGTTGCAGCATATCGCAGAGAAGAACGGATGGACCAAATTCATCTCCATGCAAAATCACTACAATTTATTGTATCGCGAAGAGGAGCGGGAGATGAACCCTTATTGCAACCTCACTGGCGTTGGTCTGACCCCAGTAAGAATCTCTCTGATCGCTCCGAAAGAAGACTTACAGAATTTGACCTTTTTTCGATAGTGGGCTGCATTGGCATCGGGTCGACTGGCCCGTGATGCAGTAGAGAAGTCAAGTTCAAAACGAGCCGAGTGGAGCTCTCGTGGATCGTTATACGACAATGGTAATGAGAATATTGATGGGATTGTCGCAAGGGCAAGAGAGATTGCTCTAAAGCGAGGGTGGCCAATGAGCCATGTCAGCTTGGCTTGGCTGAATCGGCGGGTCACAGCTCCCATTATTGGGTTTAGCTCGAGCGAGCGCATATATGAAGCCCTAGCTGCTCGTGGAAAGGAGCTTACAGAGGAAGAGGAGCGCTATTTGGAAGAATTATATCTTCCCAGAGCCATCCAAGGGCATGAATGAATCGAGACGAAGTTGTGCATCAGGTGAACTCACTATGCGGAGTACATATACCATTCTTACTTTCTTGTTTTAATATCGAGGACTTCACTTTGTTCGATGTAGGTCGAGTATATCAAGCGTTTGTTCGATATAAAACCAGTCATATTTAAGGCTCAGTGGCAAGTTTTAATGTCATGGGAACTTTTAATTGTTCTCATAATCAGTTATATTATAAGGAGAATCAAACGGTAATGTGTACAAGACTAAAAAAATATACCAAGGCAAATAGATACAATGAAGGACAAGTTGGACGCACTCATCTTGAACACAACTGCTGGTCAACTCTTTCAGACTTCCGCCCCATCAATGGTCACTATTGTAATAGCACCATGATACTCAAAATCCAGCATCAGCCCGTTGCAGGCTACAACCCTAGTATTGAGGCTGTTTCCGCAAATTTGTGGGAGGGGCCACAACCTGCATGCGTCGGTCCCAGGTAAAGCACGTTTTTCTCTTCCGCTTCCCGACTGTCATTGATCGCATCGATCTATCAGATCGTCCAGTGCTCCAAGTTGCAGTACTACAGTCCTCGTCTTCACTTGTATTGACAGAGCGACTCAGTGGCGGAGTCGCGGTTGGTAAACGATGCGAAACGGATTGCACCGACGCGTTCGCAGCAAAGCGGGCCAGCGCATTGACACTTGTGGGATCCCGAGGGACAAAGTGCGAGCCAAAATATTCAATGATTTCATATGAAGTGAATGAGCGCGCTAAGCCGATGGAAAGGTGGTGTTCCACGACAGCGTCCATGCTGGCGAGCGTGTGGATGCTCGGTGTCTGCATTGGCCACTGGTAGAGACTGCCATAATACCTCAATGTGCCCCGGTATCCTCCGATCGCCATCATGAATCTCAAGCGCTCCTGGCCAGGAAGACATAGATAGTCGTCGACAGGGAGACCTTGCGCGCGGATGGCAGCGACCTTTTCCGGGTTATAGTGGCAATCGACCAGAGAGCAGACCATCCCCGCCATAGCGCCGCCCTGCGAGAATCCAATGACTCCATGGATGGGCCGTCCATGGATGAATTTGGCCAAAAACGAGAGCGAGACTTCGATGCCCTTGTAATCACTCACGGTGTCTCGGCCATACCACCAGCCTAAAGCTGTCTGCTGTGGTTTCTCTTCGGCTATTATACTTTGCTTATCTTGCTCATCCTCGACGCAGTTGTCGATGTTCCAGCCAAGGCCTATTGGGGGTTCAAGTACCAAGGGTGCATCCGGGCTCAAGAACTCAACGCCTCCTGGGAACTCCGAGAGAATTTCAGGGGTGATCAACTCGGTGATGCGCTTAGTTATGGGTGTTGTTTTTGCCGCGACGTAGGATCCGGTGCCAGCGAAACCTGGAAGAAAGGTCCTATTGGTAAGCAAAGTCTCATACGCTCATACACATGGTAGGTATATCAATATCATGCTCACCATGAATCAATAGGATCCGAAACGTAGGCTCTGGGGCCGTTGTAATCAAATCCATACTTACGATCCCGAGATTTCCTATTGGAATTATGCTGGGATGTTCTTGCTGGAGAAGAATTGGGGAGACTGTCAGGCTGATGTGTGTATATTTTTCCGAGGCATTAACTCATTCCTCCTTGCGCCGGATGAGCGATTCAGGGGTGACCTGCTTGACATGTCTCGTGGGCTTGGTAGTAGCGTCATTTCGTGAATTTCCAATAATGCCATATTGCCTGGGAGATTTGCTTTTTTCCTATCATAAATACCCGAATGACATTCAGCCTACGCCACAGTTGGATGAGATTCCTCTAATTTGGTCAGCTGTGCCGATCTTAGCCACTGCTGATCCTAGCCATTACTGAGCTTAGTTACTGTCAATCTTGAACATGGAATTAGATACAGACTATTAGGGTGAGACTCCTCTTTTTTGGTCAGCTGTGTTCACAGCTGATCCTGGCCACTGCCAATCTCAAGTCTCAACGATGGAAATGGATATATGGTGATAATACGAGAAGTTTAATAATAAGCGCTGAAAATTTATGTATGAGGTAGTAAGAACTGAAGAGTGTATAGAAATCCTGCAGAAGGATCACATATAAAATGCTACAGGGCCATACTTAGTTTCCTTCTCTATATCCCGAATCCCCGATATCATATGCGGATTGACCAGAGATCGTATCTGAGTAAACTCCATACCTCCACTCTACAAGACATTGTACTAGCGGATTATAGGGCAGGACTTATTGAGCTGATAGCTGTAAATTATCCGTGTCTTGAGCACACCCACACTGGTTCCCGGTGTGGGTGTGCCGCACTGATTCCGTGATTTGCACCGCAACCGTAATGTACCTTTTATATAGCATCACCATATAAAAGATACATACTCCCTAAGTCTAATATCTAGGGTATTCACTAGGGGTGACTATATTTTAGATAGTAATATTAAAACTTTAAGATGAAATAACTTATAATTAAAAGCCTTTTAGAAGTTTTGACTAAAAAAAAGTAGGGATATAAGAATGTATAAAATATCTCTCTAGAATGCTCTTTCTTAGAGAAAAGAATAAAGAAAGATTATTTTACCTTAACACTTATAATTTTCTTTTCTAATAATAAAGATAGTAATAAAAGATAGATATTTATATATCTAAATAATAATAAATTTTAAAAACTAAATGTGTACATACCTAGATTGAATAATCTATATGTACCTTTTATATGGTGATGCCATATAAAAGGTACATTATGGTTGCGGTGCAAATCACGGAATCAGTGCGGCGCACCCACACCACCTGGCATGGATACCATATACTGACGGCTGCCCTAACGTAATCCACTACCGAGCCGATCAACCCCCCCAAGCCGATCACCCCTCATCCGATTTCAACGCGTTTGAATGTTTGAAGCCATCCAAATCAACCAAAACAATATATTTTTATTAGATCTAGCTAGTACGGCGTGTAGGGCAGCTAGATCTAGTATGTCTAATAATGAAGTAATTAGAACACCTTAGTGACGCGCATTTAGGGGGTTCTGAAGGTAAAGGCGCGGAACTAGTAGATAGCCCTCTAACCTTATTATCTTACTAATTTCTTACCTAGATAAGATCCCTAGCTTCCTGAATGGAGAGTCCTTTATTAGAAGTTATCTAGTATCTAGATTACTTCCTTTTCTGCTTCTCTTTCTTATTTACTAGGTGTAGATTATAATTCTCCTTTATAAGAAGGGCTGTGCTATATAGAGTAATCTTACAGCCCTTAATAAGCTGTTCTAATACATGTTTTAAAGATAAAGAAGGACTCTAAGATCTATACTTAAGAAGCTTCTTAATTAAGGAGGCTTGCTTACCTAATTAATAGATATTATAAGGTGTTATAAGTATAGAATTTAAAGACTAACTCCCTAGAAAGGGGGGGGTATTAAGATGAATATAAAGCTAATTTAGTATCCTTTCTAAATTAAAAGGAATAATTCTAGCTACTAGGAAGCTATTCTTAATATTCCTAGACTTAAATATATTATAATAAGCTGTTAGATATGCCTTAAGGAAGTCTAATTTATTAATAGAATTATATCCTAAGTATATTCTTTGCTTAATAAGGCCTCTATAAGCATGTTTTAATAGGCTAAAATAACTAATATCTAATAGTTATAGAAGATAAGAAGAATAAGGAGGTATATAGATAGTAATAATATTATTATCCTTACAGGCTTTATTAAAACTAGGTGTTAGATAGCTTCTGTGGCTATCTAAGATAAGTAGATAATATCTTCTAACTATATAGCTAGTTATTATAGAGATAAAGACTTTTTAAAGCCACTAGAGGCCTATCTTATCTATTATCTATCTATTTTAACTAACTTTAATTCTCTAATCAGGTGGTAGAGTATAATCTTAATACTATCCCTTAATATAAACCTTTCCCTTAAAGATTATACATGAAGGAAGCACCCAGCTAGTGGTATTAATATATTTAATTATTATAACCTATTCCTGATTACCTAGCTGAATAAGATAAGGCTTTCTAGGTATATTAGCTCTTATTACTACCTTAGTAGTTATAATTAAGCCCATAGCAAAGCCAGTCTTATTAAAATTATAGATATCTTTCTCTAGTATTCTATATTAAGATATAATCTCATGCAGTTAATAAAACTATTATTAGATTATCTTTAGATCTTTGCATTTTGCTCACTCATAATTATATCTCTGTGAATATTAGCTTTTGATCTCTGGCTGGCGCTGAATGAACTTTGTAACCTAGTTCTTTCTAATAGTAGGAGGGGAGGTAGGATTCTACTAAGTAAGTAAGATATTAGCTATTTCATATACATAAGTAGGCCTAGGAGGGCATCCCTACTGATCTATAGAAAGAATCCACTATAAGAGTGATTCCTCTTTATTAATAGTTATTTTATAGCTATTAGTGCGCTTCTCAGCCTGATAATTGCATCCATTAATTCAACTATAGAGAGTTATATAAGGAATATCAAAGATAGCAGCTGCATAATAAATAGATGAAATTTCTTTCTTTTTTAAAGTAGAAATTGCTAAGAGAATCCTTCCTTCTTGTTCCACTAATTTTTTTGATGTTTAACGCGGTTTCAGTGGCATGGTGGTTGTTTGAATAGATTTAAATATCAAGTCTAGTGGAATTCGAAAGAGGTGATCGGCTCAGGGGGGTTGATCGGCTCGGTAGTGGATTACGTTAGGAGATTTGGCTTTGTCATCCATAAATATGACCATGAGATTCCCCTTATTTGAGCAGCCTTGCAGCGTGCTGATCGTAGCTACTATTGATCCTGGCCACTGCTAACCTTAGCCATGACTGATTTTAGACACCTAATGATGGAAGTGGATATGTAGCATATCATCTGCTAGTCGAATTAATATCTCACATCTTAGTTAGCTCTACCTCCACTCTACAAGGTTTTGCACTAGCGGATCCACAGGGCAGGGCTTATTGAGCTGATAGCTGTAAGTTAACCATATTGACGGCTGGGTCAAACCTAAAACCTGCTTGATCGTCCGGCGGGCCTGAGCGCCACGTTTGCTGGCTTGGCTGAATCGAAGAATGTGATGCTCAGGAGTCCTCCAAGGCTCCAACCGCGATAACCAAAGGGGACTTAACCAAAGTTGTATCTTCACAAATCGCGCAATGATCGGAGTGTTGAGGGGCTATATACACCGGCGAGGCTTTTGTTTTGCTTATCAGACGCAAATAAGGCGGCGATTTGACCCTCGTTTGCTGTCAATTCTGCATTTCGGCTCTGCTCCGGTTATCTCCTCAATCGACTCACCGGCCTTGTTTCTAGGTATATTGATGAACTCAGACAGATTAGGTGCAAGGAAATCAGTGTCTAATCTCAAGTCCGTGATAGCTTTTATTCGATTGCTCAAAGTTGCCAAGCATGACGATGGATGATCGGGATATCCCCACGGGGCTTCCTAAGTCTTATTGGTATAGCGCAAGCGGACAGTCTGCCAAACAACCTACCATTGTGAAGGCGGATGAGATAGCCGTGGAACAGCCAACAGTGAACGGGGTAACAATGAAGGAGAAGAAGACGGACCACGTAACAGTGAAGGAGGTCACATCCAACGCATATCAAACACCAGTGGAATTTTGGCGAAACGCACTCGCAGGAAGTGAATGTTCACCATATCCGACCCTACCGCCGTTTGTCGATCAGCCAAAGGCAGACAAAGAGGTAGAGTACCAGTTTTCCCAGCCTCGGGAACTCTTTGAAGGTATATCTACATCGACACTAGTCCGTGCAGCATGGGCCTTGATCACCAGTTCCATAACAGACTCTGAGGATGTTGTGTTTGGCTCAGCAGCATCCAGAGGAGACGCAGCAATTCCGGTGCGCATCAAACTGAATGTCAATCAGAAAGTTCAAGGATACCTAAAGGAGGTCCAACAGCAGGCCATTCAGGCAATTCCTTACGAGCAGGTGGGACTGGATCAAATTGCCAAGGCATCTACCGACTGCCAAAAGGCTTGCACATTCCAAACAGTCCTTGTCCAGTCACAGGGCGATAGCCTACTGAGGCACTTCGGCAATTATTGTCTGACGATACAGATTCAGCTTGTTGGAGGCCAGATTAATGCACACGCTTCGTTTGACTCCAGAGTGATCGAGCAATTTCTTGTCTTTAAGATGCTACGTCGCCTCGAATTTGTGATGCAGCAACTGAATAGCGCAACCCCGGAAGGGGCGCTAAATGAGCTCGAGATTGTTCCGCCACCGGAGCTCGACCAGATCCGCGAGTGGAATAGCGGTGTTCCGCCAGTGGTTGAGCGATGCATTCATGACATCGTCAAGGAGCGTGCACAAGCCGACCCTGAAGCGCAGGCAGTATGTGCATGGGATGGCGAGCTGACATATCGGCAGCTGGATGATCTCTCGTCCCATGTGGCTTCTCACCTCGTGCATCTTGGTGTAGGCCCCGAGAAGGTCATACCGCTATGCTTCGAGAAGTCGATGTGGACTGTTGTGGCCATGCTTTCTGTTCTCAAGGCCAGTGGCACCTTCATCCTGCTTGATCCTGGTTTGCCTGAAGGCCGAGTTCGCAGTATCATCCAGAAGGTGCAGGCCGAGACTGCCATCACATCCACGTCTTGCCAAAACCGACTAGCTCACTTCGTACAGCAAACAGTCGTGCTTTCCAAAGAAGCAATGCAGTTATTAAAATCACAAAGCCAGCTATTGCCGTCGCAGATGCCAAAGGCAGTTCCTAGCAATGCCGCTTATATCATTTTTACATCGGGTAGTACTGGAGAGCCGAAGGGCTGCGTTGTCGAGCACCGATCTTACTGTTCCGCTGCGTTCGGCCATGGAAAGGTTTTGGGCTTGAGCAAAAACACGCGCGCATTGCAATTTGGCTCCTACAACTTTGCCGGGGCTATAATGGAGATGGTCATGACCATGATCTACGGAGGCTGTATTTGTATCCCATCGGAAGAGGACCGCAGCGTCAACCTGGCCCGGATAATTGGCAAGCTGAACGCCAATTGGGCCTTTTTGACCTCGACTGTGCTGGCCCTCCTTCACCCAGAGGACGTCCCCTCGCTGCGCACAATTTGCATCGGCGGTGAGCCCATTCGAAGCTCTCAGATCAGGGAGTGGGCCCCGAAGGTTCGGTTGCGGCAGACCTACGGTAGTGCGGAGACCGCTGCGGTTGTCTCTTCAGCTGGATTGGATTCATCCTCCGTGGTTACGAGTGTCGGAAAGGCGACTACATGCAGGTGCTGGCTCGCCAGTCCCACAAACACCAACCAGCTTGTGCCAATCGGCGCACCTGGTGAGGTCGTCCTCGAAGGACCAGCGATCGGACGGCATTACATCGGCAATCCCCGGAAGACAGCTGAGGCCTTTATCAAGGCGCCATCCTGGAGAGGGGCCTTTGGTCCTGTTGCTGCCTCGTCGAGGTTCTACCGAACAGGTGACATTGCTTTATACAGAAGCGACGGTTCCCTCGAGCTGCTGGGAAGAAAGGATACCCAGGTCAAATTGCGCGGCCAGCGGATCGAGCTCGGAGAGATTGAGCACCAAGCGAGACAGTCCTCTCCGGACTTGAAGGAAGTTGCTGTAGAGCTGACTGCTCTTGGCGACAGTGGTCCCAGATTGGTCGGCTTCCTGGTGCTCAAGTCCAGCCAAGCAAATGGCGATGGTATAATTCTTGATCAGCGGGTCAAGTCGGTAATTCATGCTGTTAAGAGCAGACTTGAGAGTGTGCTGCCCCATTACATGGTTCCATCTGTACTCCTCCCTATTCCAAGCCTTCCTCTTACTGCCTCTGGAAAGACCGACAGGAGAATCCTTCGTCAGATGGGCTCGGCAGTTACCGCGCAGCAAATTCTGGATCTGCAGCCAAAGTCAGAGTGGAGAAAGCGACAGCCAAGCACACAGACCGAAAAACAGCTGCAGAAGATCTGGTCAAAAGTGCTCAAGATTGACCCCGCCACCATCGGTCTTGATGTTAGTTTCTTCCAGATCGGCGGTGATTCTGTTAGCGCCATGAAGGTCGTGAGTGAGGCTCGCACACTGGGCATGAACCTGAACGTGGCAGACGTTTTCCGCCAGGATACCCTCGAAGGGTTGGCTCAGCAGCAGTCCCTGAACGCTGAAGAGGCTCCCAGGCAACTTGATGGGGCTGTTCTTGTCGAACCTTCCGTCAAATCCACTTTGCTTGAGGAGCTCGAGTCGAACTTCGGCCTCAGCTCTGCAGATGTTGTGGACATCTATCCTCTGACTGGCGTCCAGGAGACGCTTGTCACTGCCAGCGTAGCATTGGGACCTATGGCGGATTACTTCTACCTAGATCTTGACGCTTGCTTGGATGTGACGGACTTGGAACGTGGCTGCATGAGGGCGCTTGAGAAATTCCCCATTCTTCGCGCACGCTTTTTGCAGCTTCAGGGCAAATACTGGCAAGTTGTCCCCCACCGGCTTGGCGAGGCCTTTCGCGTTTATAACGTCGTCGGTGACCTCGAGGAATACTTCCGTAACTTTTGCCTTGAGAACGTGAAATCCATTCTACCAACCCAAGCACCCGCAGCATTCCTTCTCTTCATGCATGATAAGGGAATGCGATTGACTGTGCGGTGGTCACACGCCCAGTACGATGCCTTCAGCGCACCCCTTGTTTTCCAGTCGATCTTCGATGGTGACCAAGGGGAGATTCCTGCGAAGCCAACCTTCCCCATGTTCCTTTCCTACGCCGCCCATCAGCGCCCTCAATCCCTTGCCTACTGGAGACAATTGCTTCAAGAGTCGCATCTCACTCCAATCGGGCCCTATGTTCGCTCGGGCAATTCTCCAAATGCCATGCCTGAACAGGTTCTCGGCGCAGCGGAGGCGCGTTTGCCGCATTGTACCAGCAAGATTACTCACGCCACTCTGGTTCGGGCAGCGTGGGCTGTCCTTCTCTCTAGCATGTCCGGAGAAACTGATGTTATCTACGGCCAGGTGGTCGCTGGTCGTAACGCCGCAATTCCATCCGTGGAGAAGATTGTCGGATGCTGTCTGAATACCCTCCCCGAGCGCGTTGATTTCTCGTCTGTTGATACTGTTGCGGAGCTCGTTCACTCCGTTCAAGAGCAATACCTCTCAATTGGAGACGCAGACTCGCTCGACTGCAAGGACATCATTGAGTACTGCACCGACTGGCCAGCTGGTTCGACCTTCGACACGATTCTCCACCACCGAAACGTTGATGAAGAACCCGCGATCCAAACCCCAACCGGCATTTCGCGCATGAAGAGCTTCAAGAATCCGCTCATTTCTCCATTCATTTTCGTTGTATCGGCCTCGCGGGGCGAGAACGTTGGCCTCGAGTTGTGTGCCAATACTCATATCATGGACTTGGAGACGGCTAAGGCCATGGTGAGCAATTTGGCTCGTATCATGGAGAAGCTGGTTACTGGCATGCACATGGCCCTGCCGGAGTGGATGGACGAGGTTAATTCGTTGGTCTCATGACATTAATTAATTATATATTTGTTGCTGTAGGGCGCAGCATGAGTGGTTGAGCTCTGATATGGATTTGTTGGCTTTCATATAAGTTATATCATGTCGCATCGCAGGATATTCGTACAACTGGTACTGAGGGAACCAATTGAGATGATTGATTGAAGAAATATCTAGAGACTGCTGTTGAGAGCGTCTCTTGGCCTAAGAGGCTAACATTGGCTGTTACGACTCAGGTAATCGGATTAACCCCCATTACACTCGCCATTACCTTATGTTCAGGTATGTAAGGCAACGCGTGATACTGATAATGCACTCTGGGCTCTATTGCCTCTCAAGAGTGCCAGGAGGAGATGACTTGGAGTAATCATTCTTTCGTCTTGCAAAATCATTAGAGCCAACTCATTTTCGACTATAAAAACGTCGTCGGCAGCCTGGGCGGCCTGGCAGATGATCTCAACCATTTCATTCCATAACATGGCCAATCTTCCGTGTTGTCAGCAGTGTCACCACCAAGTCTGTCTTCTGGACACGGGTCAAACCCGAAAAGCGCAAGACTTTTTCGCAATTAGACGATGTTGCCGCGAGTGAATGGGGCCGCGACCGTCTTTTTGCATGTCGTGCGATACGTCGATCTACGCTGCCAAATATCCTTCCAATACTGGCGGAATATTCCTTTGCATCGGACCTGCTATCCTGGGTCGAATAGATAAATTTCTCAAGGTACCAGACGCAGCTTATACAATCTGATGAGAATACGATCTAGTGAGATACTCGATATCCCATCTCTCCTGGTCAAATTTGGGCCGCAATAGCTTTGTTTAGAGGTGAACTGGACCGCTGGAATGACGTCGATATAAGGATAAAACACCGTATACGTCGCGCTCTTCAAGACGGCTACTACGTCGATTTAAGTATGATCCTAGTGGGATCTAGCAGTGCACTGGTTGAGGGCTCTTAAGGGACGCCTTCAGTGGGATCTGTCGATAGCCAAACACACTTGTTTCCTGAATTCGCTAGAGGACGAGACACTACGCCTCATGTTGAATGTTATCTGCACCGCCTCGGGATTCGGAGCTATCACCAATTGTTCTGGAATTTCGGAACGCCAAAGCAAGACTCTGTGCAATAACCCCTTTGCTAGGAGGAAAGATGATAGCAGCTGGTGACGGAGGACTTTGGGCGCTTTGACTGCAACAGTACGTTTCTGCGTTCAAAGCGGCTGACGGGTTAGATATCACTAGCGAATAAGTTTTCAAAGTATTTGGCAATTGGAACACCCTGAGTGTTCGGAAACAGCCCATCATGAAATTGACCCGGCGGCCGAAAAAATTCCCCCTTGCCCTCGATGTATCGGAGCAGCATCAAAAAATCGGGTGGAAACGCAGACCCTTCCTTAAACTCCTTCAGAATGCTTGATGGATTTTTCACCCCATGCACCGCATCCTCGAATGGTATAACATTCAGCCTGACCGGCTTACCCGAGTGGCGTCGGAGGAGATCCGCCACCTCAGCAAAGCTGATGTGGTCACCACGGAAGCCGAAGACTTGATTCTCAGAGGCCTCCGGATGACAAAGAGACGATACCACAAATGCGGCCACATCATGGCGGGAAACGAAATCCAGACGCGCATCGGGATCACCGACAACATGGATCACATACTCATCCAGATCGGGCCACAGCCAGGGACACAGCATTGTCTCAGTAGGAGGATCGTACAGCTCACCGCACCCTATCACTGTATATGACATCTTGCCTGACTTGACCGCCGGGTGCTGCATGGCTTCCCGAAGGAACGGTATCTTCTCCGCCCATAACTACGCCGTTCGCATTAGTATAACTGTGACGCACATCCATCTTAGAGCAGAAGGAGAGCATGGCGCTCAGAGGACATACAGGGTGAAGGAATGGTCCGTGTCCGGGCAACACAGGAATGTGGTGCATGCCAAACTCGCTCGGGTAAAAGCGCTTAACCCCGGCCATTGCCGCGGCGTTTTGAATACACTGCTGCCGTCGAAGCAGAGTCCCACCCAGCGCATTCAGCACCACATCTATTCCATCTAAGACTTTTGCTATCTCTTCTTCGGTGGCATTTGCAAGATCTAATTTCCTGACCACAATGGCTCTTCGGTCTCCGAAGTACTTCAATTCGGATTTAGGGGATATAATGCAGACAATATCGAAAGTCCTCTCCTTGCAAGCCATTAATGCATGCAGGATGGCGTTTCCTATGTTGCCATTCGCGCCAAATAGTGCAACTTTTCTGAACTCCATTGCAAAAGGTTTGCGTGGAACGATATCGATGGTAGGAAGACCACAGGGTCCAGACAGGAGTTTCTCATCAAAGCACCAGGACTTTAAAGACGACTACCACTAGCCATTACCACGAAGTCGTCATACATAGCTAATGTATTACTAGGTCTCATGACATGTCTTGAATCACGACTACGTAGCCATGTTCAAGGCGATTTTGCCAATGTCCAGGTCTTCTGTACTTGTGCACTCGAGACTCAAATAACGGCCCATATAGTATGAGCACTACTATGACATAGTTCTGGCCCTCTGGGTCTGCCGACAAACCTTAAATGCGCCACCTCTAGCGCATTAGAAAGGTTCAAATACCCTTTCGGCTTTTCGGGAAGCCACTAGTAAGCTGCTGCCCTAGATGCCCAGTGATGTTGGACTTGGGAACCATCCAGGTCGTAGTGCCATGTTTTTGCGTACTGGTGCGGGTGGCTTTGCGGGTTCTGTATCCAAGACCCGTAAGTCATTGTGGCGATCTACACTTGCCGAGTCATCCCTAGCCTTAGGAATTGTCTCCGATTTAGGTGTAGAATTATGAGCGACATGCGTCATGAATACTATCAAGACGCTTCAACAGTAGTATTCCGACTGTGGAGCTCTGTAGCCCCCTAGGTTGACCTAGACCCTTCACTGTGCTATTCAATTAGAGTTATAATATGTGCATATATGACCCAGAGCACCGGATACAGATATAGTTCCATCCAAGATCTTGGAACCTCACATGATCTGCTACCACACATCAACTTGGGTCCAACATTAGGACATGTTACAAAATAGAATACCACTATGGTTACAGACATGAGACCCTATCTGATGAGGTCATAGTCTGGACACCTTTTTAGCTGTGGGGTATATTATTTTGATAGGGCACAGAAAATGTACGTCATATATGGCACTTAATCGGGTTCTAATCAACCAATCTTATATATCCAGCCTTTGACATGGCAGCACTACTGGACAACTATGCTGGACATAAACGTTTCGAATATTTGCATAAGCTAATATGGGATAGGTTTTTCTTCTTTGCCATTCTATATCCAATCCAAGGATGTGGCAAACAACACTTAGCTAGCCGGATTGAATTGCTATTGATTCAACTTTAAATAAATTTATCGACTCGGGCAATTAGGTTCTCATGAGTCGATATAAAGGCTTTGAGGGAGATCCAGTCGTGCGAGGATTCGAGGCTAGCTAGGTGACCTTTTGTCCCTTGCCCCCCCTCACTGTGCTGCTTTGAAAGTAATTATACCTTACTGTCTGTGGGTCTTGAACTCTTTCTAATGTGCTCACAGCTGCGTAGTAAATCCAACCTGTTATGTTGTAGTCTTGTATTTAAATGCAAAGGCATGCTTGGTTTAACATAGCCTACAATAGAGTCAATTCATTTTCGACCGTCAGTCTTGGGTCACCCTAGCCTCTGGAGTCTCGACCTTGGCTCTGGCGCCGAACTCCTGTGCGTCCCGAAGAAAGACTCGACCATGCACGTCATCCCCTGGTCTCGACTGTTGACTGCCTAATGATTTGCGTTTAAGATGGATGAAAACGTACAAGAGTCTTCATTTATGTGGTAGCCACCTCTCTTGTGCTCAGCCGTCTATACTCCTCAACGCCCCTTCACCCTTTCCCAGATTTATCAGTGAATAATTAATGGGACCCTGAAACGCTCGGTCGTTGACTTATATGCTTTAAAGTGACCAGCGAATTACAGGCTGTGCGCATTGTGAGAAATATGGAAAGCCATGCCTAGGTTATCTCAAGTTCAAGACTGGAAACCCTTACTGTTCTTGGTGAGTGCCTTAAATAGCTCTGCTCTTGAAATGAGTGTGGTGAATACATTGGGGGTTAAAAGTCTGTGCACACTCCGCGTATCCGCGACGCGTCAAAAAATCAACATTCTTTTCAACTACTATCTATTCTATCAAAATGAGGTCTTTTGGCACTGAAATTAGTGGAAATAGAAGGCCTAAGGCTGAACTATCTTCTGAATCACACGTGGCTATTTTATATGGCCTAGAGAACTAGGGATTACCTATATAACTAGTAAAGGAATTTAGTATTAGTCATAGCACTATTTATAAGATAAAAAAGTAATTCTAATAGTACTATACCCTAAAATTAAGGCCTCACACTGGTAGACCCTATAAGCTTAGTACCTCTACTAAGTATTATATCTACCAGATGGTCAGACAGAGGCCCTCTATGAGCTAGAATGCCCTAGTTACTAGCACACCTAGGGGGGTGTTAAGGTTAACTATTTAATATATTTTAAAGAGATATAACCTCAGGAAGTAGAAGAGCAAGAAGAGAATCCCTTTAAAGCTAGATATAGTTAAGAAATACTATAAATTTATATATATATAGCTTAATTTCCCTCACTAGGAAGAAGTGCTCTTTTCTAATAAATATTCTATCTAAAGAAAGTTAAATAATTCTACCTAATTTATCTTTTAATTCTTAAATAAGATATACTAGTGTGATCTAGTTAACCTGATGAACCATGGAAAGGATATTTCATAAATAATATAGGGTGTAATCTAGATTAGAGGCTATATAAAGCTAGTAATTATTAGAGTTGCATAACCGAACCGCAAAAATCGAATCCAACCCTCACCGAACCCCCAGTGGGTTGGGCTCGGGGCCTAGCCTAGGGAATCGCTTCGGGTTCAAGTTCCCTACCCCAGGCCCGATTCGGGTTCGGTGAAAACCATTAGTTTTGATTTCTGTGGTTTTTGCGGATTAGGTGAAACCGCCCAATCCATTTTAGATAGAAATCACTAATTTCTAGTATTTCACTAATAATTTTGATATCACTAGATAGCCCCTGATCTAGGCTATCTAGTGATATAAATATTAATTTAAAATACCTAGTGGTTGCTGAGATATAGAGGAATAATCATTTTCGTCATGGGGTGGTATGAAAGTGGTGTGGATATATATATATATATAACTAATGGTTAATAACCACTATGGTTTAAAAATGATTTTTTAACCACCCCCCATTCAGCCCTATAGATATTGAATTAAAATTTTAGATATAGATTAGTATGATGATAATTATGATATATTTCATATAAAAATGATAATTTTTGATTAGCATAGTGATATTATGATAGATAATATGGCATTCAATGAGGCATTGAAATTCAAAAACTATTAAAATTCACCATGGGGTAGCGGTTTAACCAACTCGAAATTGAACCAAATCTAACCATGGTTAGTTAGTAGGGGCCTAGCTAGGCCTAGCTAGGCCTAGTAGCAGGTTTTTGCAGTGAAACCGCCACCAACCCGGATCGGATCCGGGTTGGCTGCGGGTTCTAAAATTTGAACTCAAAATCGCAGCGGTTCAGTGCCAACTGGTTTTGAACTCGCCCGAACTCGCACCAAATGCAACTCTAGTAATTATAAAATATAATAAATTAGCTCCTTAAGGTGGATATTCTACTAATTCTTACCTAAAATACCTTAAAGATAGCCTCCTTCTAATCTATGAGCCTGGTATAATATTCTAGTAAGATAATGCTAAAATCTATACATCTTACTAGGCACAGGAGTGATTTAAATCTCATAGAATCTAGGTTATAGAATAGCCTCTATATTCACCTAATTTAAATCTAATTAAACACCTCTGGAACCTCCTAAAGAAGAAGCTTTTACAGCTCTATCCTGACCTCTTCTTAGGAGGCAGATCTAAGGTAGATTAGACCTAATTTTATAATACTATTATAGAGGCATGGGATGCTATCCCTCAGGAGAAGATTAATAGTCTAATTTACTTAATGCCATATTAATTACGCGTAGTTACCAGGCAAGGGGATGGTACACTAAATATTAATATCTACTATTCCCCTATTTATTCTTATGTACTGAAATAATATAGTGGTTGAGAAATAGGGGATTGAAAATGGCTGATTTTTTTGATAATTTGGTGTGTAGCCAGACTTATGACCTTTTAGTTTAGTGAGATGTATAGGGGATCAATGATATTAAATAAACTGGTGTCCATGCTGTCTTCCCTAATGATTAATGTCCAAGGACTTTTATTCGTAATTAATAAGCTGTCAGCCTTAATCACTTCAATCCATATTTTCTCCAGATGGTCACCTATCTATCTACGGAGCCCTTCCCCGGAAGGAGGCTCTTGACGATCACATGGTGCAAGTCGACATACAAATACTCACATCGGGTGTCTACGCCGATATTAAGGATGGTAAAAAATATTTTACTTTACCAGTGTACCACGAAGCGTACGACTGTCATATGATCTGGACAAATTTGGCCGTCGGGGTACTACCCATGTTCATGCTACGTTTCCGACTAAAGATCATGCTGGACCGACGCCTTTCACGCAATGGACGATGAGGCTGTTGCACCCGGAAAAGTTGGATCTGAGTGGTTTGACGGGAGTCGATCTGGGATGGACTGAACGCCCTTGTTCGTTTCCTGATAATGCCAGAAGGGTATTATCCATTAGCTAAGACATGCCGTACTCCAATTCAGTTCCTTCTTGGATGGGTAGTCTGTGATTAACTGCATCAATAAGGGCGCATGTGACAACAACAACAACAACAGTCATGATACTGGGACCCTGACATAAGTTATACTCTGCCAATGCTGTAGTTATTAGGGCTACAGAACTGAATCCAATGGTGCGTTGATGCCATGGGCGCAAAGAGAATACTCTTCTAAGTGTCACTTCTGGCAAACAGAGATGACCATTAGAGAGATGTAGCTAATTTATTTCACAAAGATTAACCTTGTTGGTGTATATTGGTTGCTTCTTGATACTTGTGGACAACTGCCGGGAGGAGGACAAAGTCCAACTAGATACATATGATAAAACCCTCCAATCATAGATGTATGACTTTCCTGACATCAAATCTATTCTTTGTACCCATTGACTTACTCCAAGGAAGCACATACCCCCGTTGATTGCTCAGAACCCTTATTCGGCCCTCCTTGAAATCAGTGGTATAGTGCGTATGTCCAAATACCCAGACCTTGACCCCGGCCGTTGTTTGCGAGAAGATATCAGTTCCAAAAGCAGACTTCCAAGGGCTATGCGCGTCCTGCGGACTGGATGTCCTCCTAAGGGACGGGGCATGGTGCGTCACAACTAGTATAGACTGTTTTTGACTCTGCTTTTCTGCTGTTTTATTCTGCCGCTGTACCGACTGTATCTCGTCAAGTAACCAGGCAAGGTCTGAGTCATGAGCTGCGTTATGATCTTCGACCGTCCAGCCTTCAATCTTTTGGAAATCTTTGATCTTCGACCGGACGATGTCCCGTGCTTCATGAGGAACTTTGGACCAGAGTGTACACCCTAGAATAGTGACACGGGACCCTGGAATATTATACCGTCTCTGATGGAGGATGACTAGCCGACCGTTCAAAGCAGGTTCTCGTTCGAGTTGTCTAGCCTTCTCGAGTCCCCTTGCAAACGTTCCATTATAGAATTCATGGTTTCCCAGAACGAGAAATACATGCTCAAACCGGTCCGTCTGTTTTTGTAAGAAATCGCGATAGTTGTCGTAGTCCACCAAGCGTCCAATATCACCCGCAAGAATGAGATATTTAGCGCAAAGAGGGATTTCATAAGATGGGTACTGTTGATTAATCTCAAGATGGAGGTCAGATAGAACTTGAAAGGAGACAGATGGCCTATTAAAGAGCGACCATAGTTTCTCTAACATTATGTCACACCACAATGCTCCACGTCTTGGAGGAGTGACCAGTCGTTAAAGAAAGGAAGGGGGGGGTGGGGACTTGTGGGTACGATTGCCAAGACTGCACTATTGGGCTTTATAGAGACCAGAATTCTCCCCTTTTCTAGCGCCAGCAATGCCTCGGACCCTCAGTTCTTTTCGAAATGCGATCATCCGGTACGAAATTAAGAGTAAGAGACGATGGAAATCACCATATTAATAAAACAAGTTCTCTCTGGCCTTGGAAATAGAGACATACCAGCGTGTATAATCGGGGAAGTAGCATTAAATTACTACAACGTCCCCCGAGTAGTCCATGTGAGCATTCGCCAACATTTTTACACGATCTCATTCTGACTATCAGCAGGATCTCGAAATCTGCGTCCCGGAAGCTGCACTGTCTGAGGCAGTGTCTGTCCTCTGCTCGACATGTCAATTTATACCTGTGGAAAAAGAGGCGTATGATATATTCACAGAATATAAGAGAGGATTCCCTACGCTCATGGCGCCGCCGACAAGCCTTCTAGTCTTCCTCTTTCCTGATTCTTACTTTTATCTTTCTCCGCTGCGCCAGAGTATTGTACCATATCAAGAGAGACCATCTACAACCTACAGCCGTCAGTTAGTGGATTTATTCCCCCGTGATGAGATTCCGCATCTGCCGGTGCCGTATCTTGCGGCCTTCTTCGTCGGGCTTTGCAGGAGATTCTTCGAGTCAAACGACTGTATGGCTAGGATTGCCGCCGAGCAGCTGGTGGACGGAATGGATCTGGATGGAGAATGGGTTCAAAATAATCTTACCGGAGCGGCGCCCAAGGTGAGGAAGTTAGCGGCGCAGCTAGTGGCGGAAAAATCATCGCGGTATGATGGATATTTGGATTTCCGGGCGCCGTGTGCTAGTGTAGACGATGGTACAATGAAGGGAGTTAAATCGATACCGGGATCTGGTTTTTGTAATCGTTGAATTATCGTGTCTCATATCGTTGGCTTCCAATGTTGATCCATATTTTTTATTTGTCCGCGCTGACCCTGAATTTTTATTTATAGAAATATCTAACAACAAATAATGGTACCCGCAGATAGAAAGTACAACAGCGAGGTAGGTATACAGGATCTGTTGGCTTATTGATTCTCACTTTTTACATGGACTCCGTCTTGGGCGCCTATTCAACCAATGGCAGCTCTGCATAATTGGACTTCCTGTCTGTATACACCAGCACTGGCGCTTAGCTCATCTAACGTAGGATAATCTTAAGGTCAATGCGCCCTTTCATAGATCTCTGAGAGATCTTTAAATGGGAGCCGATTCCAGCCCTCTGACCATCATCGACAGGTGCAGACTTCTCTCCTCGAGCTATAGTGTTTTTCTTTTCAGCAACAGCAGCATGCTTCAGGACCGACTGAACGATGCTGCAATCGCCCTCCATCGAGTATTGAACGCGGCGAATATCCGATTCGGCATATTTGGTGGCTATGCCATCGCTGCGCTAGGTGGCGCCCGGGAGAGTAAAGACATTGACTGTATCGCTTCCGTCTCCAACGAACACATTGTTACTCTCCTAGATGGGAAAGACGGGTTTGCTGCCATCCCCCAGAGCCGACAAGATTATGTGGCATTCCTATGGTCTGATAAGCCCGACCGAAGAAATGCGGTCCTTGTAGAGATTTTCTGCGAGCAGTTTACAGGTTAGTTAGTTTATCTTCTCGATGCGATTGAGGACTATCCCTAATATGATCCTACCCAGACGCCCAGTATACCATGAGGGGTATACAAGCCACTGTTCGTATGGTAAACGGGCAAAGATTCGGCACTGGTCCTGTCAGCTTTCTTGATCCCTTTTACTTGTTTAAAGGGAAACTTCGTGCCGCGGCAACTCGGTCAAAATTTCATGATTCTGCCGATCTTCGATGGTTAGCTGATCGATATGGGAATGCCGTTCAGGCACGAAAGGATGAGCTGAGTCTCCAATACATAGGCCTTGCAGTGAAGCGATATCCTGAGCTTGAACTTCTGTTTCGGCGATTCGGGGTCAATCTTGTGAAAGCAAAGGATACTGTACAGGATCTTGATCCCTCTAGACTTCCACCGCCTGCTCCTGGGGATGTTCAGCTAGGATTGTTGGGATAGGGTTTATGAATTATCGGGTACCTGCTCCATGCGGAAGCCGGTGTTGGAGAAGAGTCGCTGCCCTGCCATGGTCCCACCACTGACACTGCCTCAGAGACCATGGACGCACGTCTCAATCCGTCTTGTAAAGAAAAGGACTGTTCCTTCATGTCCTAGATAGTCAACCAGGTAGAAATGTCAGACGGAACAGACTCAAATTCGCAGCAATGGCCATATACTGACGCGACTATGCCAGACAAGCCCAGTATGTGCATAGCGCAACCCACATTGCTGCCCGGTTCTATCGTAGCATCATTGTTCTCTTGGTTTATGTCTGCAACTGAGAAGATTTATCCAGTACGGGTACTCAAATGAGGCGTGACAATCATCAGGCCCTATACTCTTATCTACCCAGGTAGTGGGTACCATTCTGAAGACAGGAGGGGAAGGCAGGCATCCAGTACGCCCAGTCCATTTACTGGATGTTGAATGAGGACAAAGCTACGCAATTCTGGGCTGACCTATACTCTGAGGCAGGTATCACGCCGGACGATATCACCTGGTAAAATATGTATCACTTCTTCTATGCGCCAACAGAGAAAACCTATGGAGACCAGAACTGGGACTACAACCTCCCCGGGCCCAAGGGTTATAAGCTGGAGGATGTGATTAACCCAAGGGACATGGTGACCAAGGCCTATGCACACCTGCACGCCTGCAGGACCTGAAGCTGCAGCTAGACAACGCCATCTAAAGGCTCAAGGAAGGCACTTACTTAGGGTTAACTGATGATCTTATTAATGCCATCTGACTCCCTATCTTCATGATTACAGATGCAATGGAGAATATGGAATTAATCATCAAGGCAGCTGGGGAGATAGATAGGGAGAAGCACAAGGCAATTATCTTTACCTTCCTAAGCACCATTTTTCTTTTTTGTCCCTATCATTAGTTAGCTTATGAGTAGGCTAATATCACTTATTATAATTAGGCGCATTGTTGCGCTGATGGGAACAGTCAGTAATGTGGTATTAGATATCTATATAGTGTTTAATAATAATAAGAATGCGCCCCTGGCTATCTTTAACCTCATCCTTGCTCCCTTGGCACTATTAGATATTATATAGGTGACTTGTGCAGCTAATTTCCGCTGCGCGATGCCCAGTGAGGAGTTGACTAAGTTAGGTGATAAACTAGCAGCCCGCATGGACATGATCAGTTGGGTTAAGGGCAGATGTCCCATCTGATGCATCTTTGATCAGAATGCTGTACAATATCAAGAGCATAGACAATACAAAATATAATACTATCAAGTCGTAAGTACATTCAATTTATATGTCATGACATGCAGCACCCAGAACGCAGCCCACCAGAGATGGCTCCATGACGCCACTTGAATAAGGAAACATGTGCTCAGGCATTGAACAATTAATATGATAAAATCACAATTGGATTATGAGATTTATCTATTTGAAGCCAACGGCGTCAATGGTAAATGATGCCAAACCAGTGACATCATCATCGGGATCAAAAGTAGACTAAATTTTAAGCATAATCCTGGCAAACAGCCGCGCATTATTAGTATTACTCGCACTAGATATGCAGCATGGACAGACTGGACTAAAATAAGAAAACAGACATCATTCGATCCAAGTTCCTGTCGATCATTATCATTATGGTAACAAGTCATGTTGGCTTGGCGTGGCTGCCGGAAACAGGGAAAGTACAGAGTAATCATGACGCAATTGATATGAACATTCCCTGCCATATCCATACGACAATGTCACTCTACGACATCGTCATTGCATCAAAAGTATAAATACCATTGACTACTTCAGATCTCGACAATCCCTTGATTAAGTTCACGCACGAATCTCATTTTTTCATTTAACTCATCTCCTACTTCATAAACTCAATCTAAACATGTTGACCCGAGGATCCCGATTCGCAACAGGCTGTGCCAGGCAGCAGCTCTGGGGCCAAACAAGGGCATCTCTTCGCAATCAACGTTCTCGATACGCTACCTCAACTCAGTCCGCCCCGAATGGCACCAACGCTGCCTTGGTTGGAGGCGTCGCTGGTGGAGCGGTGACCTTTCTCGCAGGCTACACCTGGTACCACTTTTCCGGAGCCAAGAAGCTTGTTCAGACCGCGAATCAAACACAAAAATACTACGACGAAGCAAAGAAGACGGTGGCTCAGAAGACTCCTGATCCGGACGAGGCCTTTGGTTGGCTGAGAGATACAGCGAAAAATTACGCATCGTGGATCCCCGGGGCCAAGCCCTATGTCGACCAGGCGTTTGACGACCTCGAGGAGATCAAGCGCAAGCATGGAAAGGAATTCAATGAGATTGTCAGTGATGCGTACAAAGACTTGCGCGAAGCTACAAAGAAAGGCGGTCTTGATGTGAACACCGCTGTTAAGATACGGGACATTTTACAGAAGCACTTCAAGCGTCTGTATGAACTGGCTGGCGAGTCTGCAGGTGACATCCTTGACAACCATCCCGAGCTCAAGGAGAAGGTCGGCGGCAGCTTGGACCAGCTCAAGGAGATGGGCAATGCCTATGGTCCGCAGGCGAAAGAAGAGGTAGACAGAACATGGCAGCAAGTGAAGGATATTATCTCAAGCGGCGTTAATCCCGAGACCGTCCAGAAGATTCAAAGTCTGGCCCAGGAAAAGAGGGAGAAGCTCCAGAAGTTCGGCGATGAGGCGTGGCAGCGAGGTATGGAAGAGGTTAAGCCATACCTTGATCGAAACCCCAAAGTCAAAGAACTTGTTGAGAAAAACAGTGATGCATTGAGAAAGGGCAACTTTGGGGAACTCTGGGGTCTAATCAAGGAAAGCTCGTCTTCAGGCAACCTAGGAAACCTGGAGGGATACATCAATAAAACCGTTGATCAAGCCAAGAAGAGTGGTTTCAACCTTGACAGTCTGGCAGATAAGTTGCCAGGAGGCTCAAACATTCTCTCCCAGCTGCAGTCACTCCAGAATATCGCGCAGAAGAAGGGTCCAGAGGCGGAGAAGATTCTCCAGGATACCCTCAATGACATCCAGGGTGTCTTATCGGAGAGAACCAAGCAGGCCGAGAACCTTGCTGAAGAGGCTAAGAAAGAGAGCAAATGATTGGAGCGCTACGTACCACTTCCTGAATCTTCCCTTGTACATATATGCATGAGTCAGGCTTTCGGCTTTTTTCAAGTCTCCAAAGGATTCGGAGCTTGTGTATTTTAGCAATGAGTTATTTACGGAATTGACGAAGCGACATCCGGATAACTACACTCTTGTGCTTAGTACATATGTAAATTACAACAAGGACTGCCTAGAACGTTATATGACTCAAAATATGACTCTACTTATTTCTACATGGAGTACTACCTCTACCTTAACAGGTACACTTCTGAAGATCTGTGTGACTGCTATATGACATCATGCTGGGTACCTTTACCTTTAGCCAATCAGAGGCGCAATGCTGTTGCCAGTGCCGCAGTCACCGCAGTTAATTACCAATACAAGACATGATTGGCCCATTCTCTTTCGGTTCCCCAGCGGCCCGTCTGATCCAAGAACCAAAGCCAATCAGACGCCCTGACGGCCAGTGTCGAATCCGCCGAGCCGAGGAGGGAATGTTGTTGTGCGGGGAAGCAGGCTGCACCGCCTCCTGGCAGCTGATGGCGCTTGTGCAGCAGCGTACACCGATTAATGGAGTGGTATCCCTGCGCTGGGTCGATACCGCTTCCATGTAACAGTGATTGTTCTACCCTCAAATGGTTCCAGACCCAAGCAATATCCCTCTGGGGTTTCTGGGAAATCTGTCGAGGGAACAGGAGAGATGCTTGCGGCAACTCTGGTCCTTGGTTCTCTATATTGAAGATGCCGCCTCTTTCAAAGACCTCGAACAGCTCTTCCGGATCAACAGTGCCGAACGGAACAAATCAACTTCAATTTCTTCATTTGCGCGCCGAAACTCGCTGCTGGCCCGGACGGATTCCATCCTGTTGCGCAGGAGCAGCACAGCATCCTTTCCGGCACCTTCCAACCCACTAGTCCAGAGTCTTCGTAGTATTGGAATGACCGCATTTGAGATCCGATCTGTTGCAAAGTCCTTGACCTACCTGAGCCCAGACGATGTCCGCTGGGGCATACTCACGGCGAGCAAACATGAATTTCCGGATAGGTGGCTGCTTCGATACCTGCGTTTCTGCAAGTGGAATGTCAGCAAGGCGTTTATTCTCATTCTGAACGCTTTGCAGTGGCGGATAAAGGACATGCATGTGGATGACCGTCTACTGCCAGAGGGTGAGCTTCGTGCCCTGCACCAGTCACAGGCACCCTCCAATGCTGCCGAAGCGCAACTATCGAGTGGCTTCCTTCGTCAGCTACGGATGGGGAAATGCTATGTTCATGGGGTCGATCGAATAGGCCGACCTTTGTGCGTGATACGAGTACGATTGCATCGACCCGAGCATCAGTCCGAAGAGGTGATGAACCGATACATCACACATATTATGGAGTCGGTCCGGCTTCTCATCGCGCCTCCTGTAGAGACAGCAGTATGTATCATTCGCATAGGTGGATTCGTCTTACTGACATGCGCACTCTAGACTGTCATTTTTGACATGACTGGCTTTTCGCTCGCAAATATGGTGGGTTTGCCTCATGGTTGGGAAGAATTACCTACTGATGTTCCATATTCAGGAGTATGCTCCTGTAAAATTTATCATCCGATGTTTTGAGCTATATTATCCCGAATCGTTGGGTGTTTGCCTCATCCACAATGCTCCCCGTATTTTTGCAGGTGTGCTTGGCCCCATTCCTGTGGTTTGCCTCCGTCGCTCACCACTGACTGAGCCTACACAGGAATATGGAAGATCATTAAAGGCTGGATTGACCCAGACATGGTGACAAAAATCCACTTCACCAAGTCGGTGGAAGATCTCGCACAGTTCATTCATCCCAGTCGGATTGTGAGCGAGCTGGGGGGTGATGAGGACTGGGAGTATGAATATACCGAGCCTGAAATGGATGAGAATGACTTAATGGAGGACGACGAAGGGCGCAATGCATTACTGACGGAGCGACAACATATCAGCGAGACATTTCTTTCCCTTACATCCCAGTGGATTGAGGCCACGAGACTCGACTCCCCTGACGAGGCTGCGATTGTCCAGTCGCGCCGTTTGAAACTGATGGAGCAACTTCGCGTTAATTACTGGAAATTGGACCCTTTTGTCCGAGCCCGTAATTTTCTTGATCGAACAGGCGTCATTCGGGAGGGAGGGAGAATCAGACACTATCCAGAACCCAAACCCGAGGTCCAAATAGAGACAGCCAAGGTGTTGCAGGTGGCACATGTTGATCGTGCACGGGTGAAGCTCATTAATGTCTAATAATTTTTAACATGACGACATGATGATGATACCCGAGGCATCACTTATTTTGTTTTTCTAACAGTAATGAGGGCAGACTATCTTTAATTTAGTGGTATCAGATTGATCCTATCCTGATTCTGTAGCAGATACAACTAGTAGTAATCCTGAGAGGAGACATCGGCCAGTTGACGCTCAGCGTGTCTCTTGGCCTGCTCTCGGTCAATAAAGTCAAGACCCTTGGTCTCAATTTCACGGTCAATGAAAGCGCCGGCAAGTCCAGCGAGAATCTCCTTGGCCTTCTCGTGGCTAGGAGGCTGGCCTGTATCCAGATCAGCATACCTGTACCAGACTAATCCATCTTTCCTATTATGAGACACGGTGGAGTAACAGGACAGAACGAACCATTTGCAGCAACGTGACCCTCATAAGCCTTAGCGGCCTCATAGGAGGCGGCGGCAGCAATCAGCTCATGGCTTACTTTGGCCTTGTGTTCATCGCGGTCGGTGAACGATTGATAAGCGTCATAGGCCTGAGCCTGCTCACTGTCGTCGCCTAGAAGAGTATACAAGGTTAGTTACAAGCGATAGAACATGGATAGAAGGGGAGTACTACTGAACCAGCCCATGATGTCAACTTATAGGGATTAGGAATGAAGAAGTGGAAATATCGGTTCAAAGGTTGTGTTGAAGGAGATATTAAAGACAAAAGGGGGAGGCGAGGGGATGAGCTGGACGACAGTTTATATAGGCCAATCTTCAGCTTATGGCGGGGTAAAGGAAGGCCCCTCCTATGGTGCTGATGACAACTTTACCTAGGATAATTGTCTCATACTGTCTGGTACTATCGAATCTTAGGCTTCTTAGCTGATAGTGTAAGCTTTCTAGGCGGGGTTCCCCACCACGAGCTGCCCAATACCATTGTGGCTACTATGGTGACTATTAACCTTAGCATTGGGCTAAGCAAATCGGCTTTATTTTTAGCAGATGTGAAACTGCAGTACCTCCTTTATGGATCCAGGCTACAGCCAATGGAACCCTTCCGGCCATGTCACAATGATGCATCCTGCCAGGTACTGAGTTGTTCTCATCATGTTTCCCTTGTACAGTTGTACTTTACTTATCCATTCCTCAAGCTCTATATTCAATGATCACCTGCATGCGCTAATGTAGCTATATAAATCCAAGAGAGGGATATATATCTCTATATAAATGTATCGATTGCTGGAGCTAACTCTATGAAAGTCAGAGCAGATAGGCCGAACCATCTTAATCATCCAAGCCGGGACATTGTTCGCTGGTCTGCGCCGTGATCTCGGAGTAAGGATAGGGATCGGTCCAAATCAAGTCAAACCTAAGATTGTTCAGCAACAACGTCATTAATATTGTATTCAAGGAAGACTGACCGGTCATCAGGATATGTTGGGGCATCATCATCGCCCAACTTGTCGACGATATCCGTCAAGGCGTCATGTTCCCAGCAAATCAGAATATTGCCCGACCCGGTGTAACTATCAACCACGTCTCTGACACACTTCGGATCATCGCGATCACAGGACGTGTCCACAGTCAGTCCCAGGTCTTCTGCAAGAGGCTCTACTGTCTCGTAAGGACGAGCCCGTGAACCATCTGGATTAACAGGTTAGCCGGAGGCCTTTTCAGAAAGATCTAATTATCATACCACTCTTGGGCGTTTGAGCCATGATGTATCCAATGTTGTAGCTTGAAGCGCTGCCAAAGACAGTGCGAAGGCATTGTGCGCGCTCAAGTCCCTGAGCGCTTAGTCCGTTACCTCCATCGCTGGGCTTCTCACCATGACGGATGAGATAGACGGTAGGCTTGGCTGCTGAGACGGCGACGCTGATGAGGCCTAAGGCCGGAATGGCTTTGGCATGCATGGTGATGAAGTTGAATGACAGGAGCGAGAGAAGAGTTTTGGGTCAGATCGGTCCGCATTTATACCTGCTCGAAGTCACCATCTTACAGATGCAATGTAACCTCGTTGCATACATTCTAGTCCAAACCTGCGTCGACAGCCCAGGAAATGGTTGGCCATGGTGCATTGAGAGAGATATATCTGCCAAAGGAGGAATTGAGGGCTGTGATAATGTGATTGGTTCGTCATGCACACGTGCTGGAATGGCTTGACGATCAGCTTTGTCATGTCTCGGGTCTTATGCATCGTTCGCTCGTATTCCCCTCGCGCACGTCGATCCATCGCCAAGACGGGTAGAAGATGATGCGTGCTACTAATGCTTATGCATATTACTGTTCCGTTGCGACTCCATCTTACCAGTCGAAGAGAGAACGGGATGTCGGTCCAGTCCGTGTCCAATTCTGGCTATAATCCGGTTTCGGCTGATACAGTAATGTGACATTCAACAAAACGAAAATATGTGTTCCTCGCCATAACTACACAGCAAATCCCAAAGCAAATATGCGCAAGATATTCCAATCATTCTTCCTACGAGAGACACTGGGAGTAATAAGCATTCAACACCTTACACGTGGCACCCGAAGCACAGGCAGTAGGGCCTGTCCAGCCACTGCCACCGCACTGTCCATACAGGGTTTGAGTGGCTCCACCAGTGGAGGTCGTGGTGGTTGCCTTGGTGGTGGTTGTCGACGTCGAAGGAGAAGGGTTGCTGCCTCCTGTCGTCAAGCCCACCGGAGTCTCATCGGTTGTAGTCTTGCCGTAGCAGACACAGGTCTCCCAATCGGAGGTGGCCTGACCAGGACAGGCAACCGGCTCAAAGTTGACTACCACATTGTCGCCAAAAACTTCACTCTGGGCCATGATATCAAAGTGATAGCTGTATCCATAATTGTTCGTGGCGCCAACTTGAGGACACCATTGCTGATTGCCATTATAGGGGCAGAGATTTGTGACCATGACGATGATGCTCTCCCCAGCGGCCCCTCCGGTGCCACAGCCGCTGCAGGGAGCGTTGCCAGTTGATGTCAAGTTATAGCACTTGCCGCATCCTGCACCGCACCATGAGGCGCCGGCAGTGTCGAAGAGGGCCTGGGAGCCGGCGGCCGTGTAAACACCGTTACTGATGCGGAGCTATAGATCAAACGTCAGCGCAATCTCTCAGACAGCTGTGTGTTAGCCTTCACCTGCCAAGAGTATGCACCGGATGATGTTTCACAGCCACAAGCTCCTTCCTGCCCGTCATAGTATCGCTGCCTGTCTGGTTAGTCATGGTTGGGATAGCATAAAGCAAGACCATACCGTAGTTGTGGCCAGATAAGCTGAAGCCGAGGCGACGAGCCCTAGGCATGCTAGTACTGTCTCTACCTTCATGGTTGAATCCAAGCAATGTGATGTTGATTTGAGAAAAAGCACCGAGCAACTGGTTAGAGATTTATGTTTCCAGGTCATCTCAGGGCACAAAGCTCGTCAGCCTATTTGAAGTCCAGTGTTCGGCCCGCCGATCCGGCATTGCAGTTTGCAGAAGGCTAGTGCGCAAGCAACCAGAAGACAGTACACCTTGTTCGCAAGTGTTTAGCCTTAATTAGAAAATAACCTGCTCGGCAGTTGCCAGAATCGGGTCATTTTTGCCTGTTTTCATTGACTGAGAGTAAGAAGCTTTGGTGGCTACGTGCCTGTGTTTCAGGTATATAAATCCTCCGCACTTGAATAACCGTCGCGGCGGGGCTAGGCATCACGGGTCCAGACATCGCGGGATTTTCGAGAGGAGTATACACTACTACAAAGGGCATTTTATTAGGCGTGTAATAGCCAGGCTGGGAGCCGTTCTGCCACTTTTCGGCAGAATCTTCCAATAGCCATGGCAAGACTCTGTCGAGGAAACGCGATATACCTGACCAATTTAACCTACTTGCAGAAAGCATCACAATTCAAAAGAGGACTAGGTGGTTCTGTACGTTAAGGACATATTTATCCATTATTCACCAAGTTCCCAATAAGATAATAATAGCTTAGTTGACTAACAGAAGTGGTTATGTCACAGTGATCATACTACTTTAACCATTAAACAGGTTAAGTTTGGCAAGCCTATGGACGTTGTACCTTGCATGGAGTCAATTGAGATATATCCACGTATCATATGCTAAGAAATATGTCTGGTGCCTATGAAAGGAGATAAGGTGGTTGAATCAGTCACCATGACATGCTTCCATTCATACATCATGTACCCTTCATGACTCTGCTGGATAGGCATGCAATACGTCAATTGTTATATTGTTGATCAGTGTCTTGGAAAATAAATACAGAAGATGCCTCTCGCCTCATTGATCCATGAGACTTTGCCAATTACACCTGTGCATAAAATGATTCACAGTGTACATATTGCACGAGCATCAAACAAAGCTGGGTCCCACTCATTACGAATTTGCCGGTTGCAAACAACATCCTCGATATCCGATCCGACAGGGACGATGTCCAGCTTAAGGAATCCCCGGAACAAAGCATCCGTACTGCGCCATGAGGACGAAGAGGCTGCACTGCCCGATCTCCTGCTCTGGGACGTGAAGGGACTACGGTACTTTGAAGAGGTCACCTACACTCCATCATACTACTTGACCAACGAGGAATTGGACTGCTGGAGAGACACAAGTATCAGATCACAGAGCATATCCCGTCTGGAATATGCTGGTCGAAGATACTGTTCGAATATCCTAGACGATGCGTCTGACACCATCTGCAGGAACCTCCGCAAGATCCGAATCTTACTCAAGGCCCTTGACGAACTAGATCGCGAGTGTATTACTTCGCCCTGGACCTGTCCTATCCTGAACTCCAACGGACGCTCAGTTTGGTGCCTCCGGGACGATTCCGACATGTGCGGTGTTTCGGTCTTTTGGGAACCTACAATGATGGGCGCGAATGACTGAACGACCTGAAATCAGACCCCATCCAAAGACTGTGTTGTGACTTGGATCGACACTCGGAAGCTTGCAGCGAGCGGAGACTCGCACCTTTCTCTCCAGCTTTTGTTCGGGATGCGCAAACAACAAACCATCTTTCCTAGTTTGACTAGACGGCTGCAAGCAGGAAGCGCGAGTCCTATCTGTGTACAATGACCCAGATGGTATCAACCGCAGATTTATCAAGAACGGATAAGTGCGAGCCAATGAGATCATGGGCCACGAAGCCTTCTATCTCAACCTGTGGGATGCCAAGGGCATCTGGGATGCAGAGAATGGTAGTCATAACCAATATTACTTTTCTCGCAGCGACGTCCAACTCGCAGGAAACATGATCTCCTCGAGGAAGAAATTACTGGCAGTGAAGAGCCATAAGTACGACGCGAAGGATCGAGATACATTGTGTCGGAAGGCGGGACTGAAGGCGGAGGATTGTTGGGCATCAGACACCGATTACAGTGAGTGTTGCAATTGTCGTGGATTCCTTGATTTGGTAGCTGAATTCCTGATTTCTGCAGATCTGTTGTTCCTGAAGCCGTCTCGTTCGATATGTGAACAGAAGTTTCATGGTGACGTCGGTTGAGCGAGGTATAATAAGAACCAGTCCACTCCCGATTCCCCATAACTGGCATAAATAATAATCCAAGATATATTTATGCATAATTGTACACATTGTTCTGTTTCTGTCTAAATGCCGTTGCATACTACAGATCTGTTAATCATCGGCGCTGGCCCGGCAGGTCTGATGGCCGCCTGCTGGGCCTCGCGTTTCGTAAGCGCCTCTCCCATGTACAAAAATGTTTGCCTACTGACAGCTGTAGCGGACATTCGCCAGTCCTGCGCAATCCAGTGCCCTGATAATGGCAGCATCATGACAGCGCCGCGGGAAAATCGCCTGGTCAGACGGTACATCCAGGTGAAGGGCGATAAACAGCTCGAACAAACGGCACAGGACCACTCAGAGGACACGCCCAGAGCACTCATTAAGGCCGCAGAAAGGTGGATCAGTCCGTACAAGCTATCCTACAAGCATTGCGATTGGTGGCCCATATACCCGGTATGATCACGCATTACCCATCACGAGCGTATACACTGACAGTTGAAGGTTGGACAACGAATGGTCAACAGGTAAGGAATCTTCAGCCACTGTTAGTCAGCCTGCTCATAAATGTAGAATTTTCCTTGCGGGTGATGCTGCCCACACCCACTCTCCCAAAGCTGGTCAAGGCATGAATGTGTCGATGCAAGATACCTATAATCTCGTCTGGAAGCTCGGATCAGTCATCACGGGAGCGGCAGACCCCATCATTCTCGACACATACGAGTCCGAACGACGGCCAGTCGCTGAGGAACACATGAAGATCGATTCCGTCCTCGTCCATGCGTATGAGCAGGAGGCCAAGGACGCGGAAGGAGTCGATCAGGTCCGAGACGAGTATGCCGGTTTCATGGCTGGTGTGAAAATCACATATGCTCCAAACATGCTCGTTGCTAGCAACGAAAAGAGCGGAGATAGAGCGCTTGCGAAGAATATCGCAGTCGGTATGCGTATACAGTCGTTCCCGGTGGTCAACCAAGCCGACGGCTCAACCATCCCCCTATTGAACGTCCTGCCGAGCAACGGTTGGTGGCGGCTGATTGTTTTCTCTGGCGACTTGCGACGGCCAGGTGTGTGGGAACGACTGACTTCGTTTGCTGAAACCTTCAGTAACGCTCCCACTTGGCACATCGTCACCAGACTCAGAACTCAGGAAGGCGCGGCCCTCCACTCGAAACTCTCCTGGTACATGCGAGTCCGAGAACGAGCATCAACCTCCTGGATCTCCCGGATATCTTTCATCCATTTGATGACGAGTGGGGTGGGACTACTGGAAGACATTTGCTGACGATGATGCATATGGTCCAAACTTGGGCAAAGCGTACGCGGGCTATGGCATCGACAGGGACCTAGGTTGCTTGGTGCTTTGTCGGCCAGATCAACATGTGGCGTGGACAGGAAGCCTAGACGAGGTGGCAGGCTTAGACAACTACTTCTCGGAATTTTCACGACAGTAGACTATAGAATACTCATTACAATTGATATCCCGTCGGAACCCTACCACTTGTACTCATATATACAAATGGCTTTCATGAACGCTAATATACAGGCATGGGAACTCCATCCAAGTCATAGTGCCAGCTGTCGATGGACGCCTGGTCATATACACAGTCCATGGTCTTTCCGTTGTTCTTCCAGAGAGGGCGCAAGGGCCACGCGCAGAGCTGCTGGCTCTCGCCTTCATGCTCACCCTGAAGAACTGTCGCATTCAGAGTCACCGGCGTCACGCCCTTTTCGACCCATTCGATCATAGTAGCCAGATTGGTCTGGGGCCATGGACCATTGGGCATGGCATTGTTGGTTGAGCAGTGGCCGGCACCGGGCACGGTGTACAAACGGTACCATTCATTCAGAGCATCGGCACCAGCTTTGTACGACAGATTGCCGTACATAATGCTGCGGACCGACTCCCAGTAGCGGACCGACGAAGCAGTAGGAATGCTGAAGTCAGCGTCGCCATGGTAGTGGATCACCTTGCCGCCAGCCTGGTGGAAAGGTGTTAGATCAGGCCAGGTAGTCTGCAGGGTGCTGTAGTACTCCTGCATGCTCGAGATCATCCAGTCTTTCAACGTGTCATAGGTAACCCCGTCCAGGCTGTCCAGAGTGGTGCCGTTCTTGTTCACTAGCAGTGCAATGTGTTCGCCCCCAAGTTGGTCGATGGACAGCTCCCACTTGCCAGTGGTGGCGTTGTACTGCGTCCGAGCATCGTCAAAGGCGCTGCTGGGTTGATAGGAGAAATACACACGACGGCCCTGAGAGTCATGCAGTCCGTTGATGATGGTTTTGGCGACCTCAACTGCTTTGGCTGAGACAGTGCCACTCTGGGCCGGTGCGGCGGCAGAAGCGGCGCAGGAGTACTTCTTGCCAATGACAGCTTTTGGATCATACTTCAGCAGGCAAAGATCGGTTCTGGCCACTACACCATCATTCCTGCCATCCAAGGGATCGCATGCAACGATAGTCTCGTTCACAATCTTCTCCAGCTCGCAGGGTGGGGGGTAGTAGTCCAGGGTCTTTTCAACGATATTCGAGAAGAGATGCTGAGTCTGCTGGAACGACCAGCGAAACGCTGGGGCCCCAATGACGGCCCCATCCCATTCGTCACCATAGCGCTGCACTTGACTCCAGCCCTCGCGGCCACCCTCGGAGCATCCGTGGTAGTAGGAGTAGAGTTTCTGGCTGTCGGCCATGCTGTAGACGTTGCGCGTGAAGGCCTTGCCAATCAAGCTAAGTTCCCGATGAGCCTTGTAGCCGAACATGTATAACGCCTCATAGTTCAGCGTGCCGTTGGCAAGCAGCATAACTTTATCCGCATTGACCGAGAAGCCCCCAAGGCCACCGTCGGTCAGTCCAGAGGCCGCGCCGTAGATGATACCTTCCGGCAACATGCGGGTTCCGGAATTGATGGCATAACCACCTCCCCCGGTAGACAACCACCGGTTCTGAAAAGTGCTAGGAGCCGGTAGCCAGATTTGGAGTAGGACTCGGTCGCCGTCGATGCCATCGTGCGAGTAGGCCAGGGTAACATTGCAGTATTCGATAGTCGCCGTAGGGTAGTCGATGCTGCTGACCGTGCTATTAGTCACCACGCTGGCCGTGACAGAGTCCGAATCAATTGTGATGCCCTGAACAAACTCTGAGGGGGGCAACGCATTTTGAACATAAGAAACAGTGCAGAGCTCCTCGAGTGTTGAGGGAGTCGCTGCATAGGCCACAGCAGTAAGCCCCACGGCGAAGGGGCCCCAGGTAGAGGGACGCATTGATAGTTCTTAATGCTTGCAACAGAGGAGGATGATTCGGGATGAGTACAGATAGAATGACGAGGGAATACTTCTCATCTTTATAGCAACAATTCACCCTTGTACTCTCGTCCCTTTCCCCCGCTTCCTCCGAGTCCGGGGTCAGACGCAATCATTGAACTGCTCTCCCAGAATCTTCATCGATATTAATTTGTGGGGTAGCTCAGTTAGCCAGCTGAGCACGATGATCTTCATCTCCTCTAGACAAATACCATTCAATGCTCCAAAACGAGCTTCGGGGGATTTGCCATAGTCAGACATGAAAGAGCGCCTCTCCACAGCCCACCCCACAGTCCCACAACTCCGAGGTTAAGCCGGAGATTATCGCCACATGCAGCCCTGACTGCCGAACACCACTTCTTCTCTGGCTAAATCTTCTTCCTGAACGCGTGTCTGACGGCTGTATGACTATTGCTAAGAAGTATCGATGGACTGCATGTTGTGGAGCGAAAAGAATTGCATGGTGGTCAAGGATATACATATCTGATTCGCGAGCGCTCTATATCCGTCGCAGCTCCGTCGGCCATGACGGTTGCATTTAAATATCTTCTTCTGTGGCGTTTGTGGGGACCAGGGATGCTGAAACTCGGCCTCAGACAGCTCCTCAACAGGCAATCTTGAATGAACAGCCGAAAGAGAGCAACAGGCAAGATCAATGAATGACACGCTTACAGATCTGTGAGTAGAGCCGAATCTTCTTAAAGCACAGGAAGGGATCAGTAGACATGCTGACCATATCATTGACGAGTCGGAGGGCTGTATATCTCATGTTATTGAGATGATTCAATAATTAAAGGCAACTGTCCCACACAACAGACTAATCGATCTGAAACCCAACCATCTGTAGGAAATTACAGAAATGCACCGTATCCATCAGCTCCGCCAAGCACACTGAGTCCAAGCTCACTCTACATTTCCCTAACCTCATCATGAACAGGCATCTTCTCATTCGCCAAATCCTCGACCCTTTCCACCCCCGCCAGCCCCAGGCGCTCGTTGATACGCAGCATCCGAAGCCGATCCGACTCGGCGATGCTATCCTCGGCACCGCCAAAGTAGACATCAAGCTCTTCCAGAGTCTTGTCCTTGGTCTCAGGAGCAAATCTCCAGATGAAGAGACCGCCTAGGGCGCTGAAGATAGCAAAGAAGATATATGTGCCGTACTTCATCGATTTGAGCATGTCCTTCGTGGTCAGACCGATGATGAAGTTGAACATCCAGTTGGTCGAGGCCACGATGGACACGCCCCGAGAACGCATACTGTTGGGGAAGATCTCCTGCGCGAGAACCCATGCGACGGGGCCTAGGCGGGTCAGTAATTGAAACAATCATATCGGCAAGAGGAAGACGCACCCCAGGAGTAGGCAAAATTGACGGCAAACAGCCAGATAAAGGCAATGGCAACCCATCCCTGAGCCTTGTCCAGACCCATGTTCTTAAGCCAGTCATCCTGGTACAGTCCTTCGACAGTCGCGACAACCACGTGGCAACAGAACATGCCAATTGCACCGGCGATGAGGAAGGTCTTGCGACCAAACTTGTCCAGAAAGAGGACAGCCGGTAGCGTGAAGGTGATTTGGAGAATACCAGTCACTCCGGTGGCCAGCAGCGTCGTCTTGGTCGAGGAGAAGCCGAAAGAAGCAAAGATCTGAGGGGCATAGTATAGAACCGCGTTGATGCCCGTGAATTGCTGGCAGATCATTGTTCCTGTAGACGACGATCATTGGGAAGAGCAACTACAAAGGCAGAAATATATACGTACCGCAGCCGAGAACAAGACGTTTGAACATGTTGGGAGCGAAAAGCGCCTTCCACGGAGCCAGTCTCCCTCCCACACGGATGGCCTCCTGGTCGGATTCCTCGTCAAAGAGAACAGCAGCCTTGATTTCGAGAATTTCCGCCTTGAGCAAGGGATCTGCGGGACTCAGTCGACGCAGTTTGGAGAGGGCAACGACAGCTTCCTCTTCGCGGTGCTTGGTCATCAGCCACCGAGGGGAGAAGGGGAAGAAGAACATTCCAAAGAAGAGAATCCATGCGAAGATAATCTGCAAAGCTAGTGGCAGACGCCACGAGATGGTCTTTTGGCCGAGACAGGTGTGTCCGTGATTCTGAGCGGCGTTGTAGGTGCCATCGGGCAGGTAAGGATTGTCAATGCCGTCAGGATTGCAGGTGGTGCCGCCGACGTATTGCATGCCTACCAGTAGCTTGTTAGAGGTGATAGCGAGACGGAAACAGAAGGGTAGACGTACCATAGTCTAGCCAGAAAGCAATGGAGGTTCCGATAGTGATGGAGAGTTGCTGCAGCGATACGAGCGATCCTCTCAGTTCGGGAGGGGCAATCTCGGCTTGATAGAGGGGAATAACCTAGATGGCCACACAGTGAGCGAGTATACGGCGTTACTGAGAAGAAACAAGCGTACATGACTGAACATGCCAATCCCCACACCACCGATGATACGACCAGCAAAGAAGTACGCCGGAGTCTGCGCACCAGCCTGCAACCCAGACCCTAGCGTGAAAATAACCACGGCGACCATCATCGAGTACTTGCGGGAGATGCGATCTGCCAGGTATCCGTTGAACAGAGCGCCCGCCCAGGCACCCAATTCGAGAGCAGAAACCAGCCAGCCCTGGATGGTTGAGCCCATCAGGTAGGGGAAATGATTCGCAAAGTTCTCCATCACCAGCACGGGACTCATGACTCCCTGATCGTACCCGTACATGATACAACCCAGCGAGGCAAAGGCACAGGTCATGAAGACGTACGGGTTCTTCAGCATACCCACTAGGCCATGCGGCTTTTCCGCGTTGGCGCGGCCAACGACTGATTGACTGACAGCCATCTTGATGCGAATCTCTATGCAGCGCGGAAATCAAAGACGTAAACGAGACTCGACGCAGGATGTGGCGGTCATGAGAACGAGGGCAGTCAGGTATTAATAAGTCAGTTACTTCTCTCGACCCCATCTGGGGTGATATCTCGGCACGCGGGGATCCATCGGGAGTCGGGTGGCCTGGGTCTTGCAAAATAAAATGACTAGTTCCCCGTAGTAGCACACGCTACAGAGGGAGACAGTAGCATTCCGCTTTGGGGTTGCATTGTTACCCTGGGGTCGGAGTATCATCGGCTTTGGAAGTCCAGTAATGTCCATCGGAGATCGAGATGACGCGCCTGTTCGACGTTCATGACTAGTTTTATGGTGGCACTAGCTATGCCGAGTCAAGGGAGCAGCGGATACCATGTGCCTTCTATGTCCGGACCAAGGTCTTGCGATGAATTCATGGCAGCGGGGGCTAGTGAACTGGATTGGGAATGGCATCATCTGGCTGGCATCCAAGGTCACAGTGGTATCTTGGTAAGACAACGACCTGGTAGACGGTTGACGAGAAGTAGCACTATCCACTATTTAGTTACTTCGACTCGGATATGGTCAGCACTAAATTAGCTTGTCTGACTCGTCTGGAGCAGGCATTTTTAGGCCTCCCATTGCGGCTTGAGTGGCTTCAGATGGCGCTTGCTAGTGTCTTACAATTGATGGGAGCTGCCGAGAACATGAATTATGCGGATAGAGAACAGTAGACCTTGGGTGAGATGCTCGAAAGTGAGGTGGTCCTACCGTTCTGGCCTTGCAGACATTTACTGGATAGAGGCAGCACACAGAGTATGTCCTACAGAAAATTGTGATGGGGAATAAATAGAGAATACGTACTATCTAGACCGTGGCAGCTGGAACCAAGCGTTTTTAGTGGCAGGTGGCTTGGAGCTTACGACTTCTCTGACTTTGCCAATCGATGAATGTATTATCATATTCTCCATCGGGAGACGTGCGGGGAAAGGTCTAATACACTGAATCATGGGCTGACTTGACTAATTCTGACTTGGTATGGTCGACGATAATAATAATCAGAAGTTGGAGCCCCCGGAAAAGAAGAGACTGTGGGAATCAGTACAACTACAACCATCACTTGGAGAATATCTTACTCATGAGGGAACAAGATTGACATTCTATTCTCTACAGAAAAACGGATTCTGCCGATTCAGGACCATTATCCCAGAGCTACTCTTTGTTGTGGATGACAGCTCTGGGAAGTGATATGAAGAAGAGAACACCCCGGAGATCCCGATGCATCCGAGAATAACTAGATAGACTAAGGTACTAAGCTTCCTGCCCAGCGCCTTTCCACCTCTAGACCAGCTTGGCGATAGCCGACCGACTCGATAATTGAAATCATGACAGGATGAGTCGGGGACGCGGGTTCATTCAACGTTAGCTCCGCACTTGTTCCTGTAAGCGACCGCTTGGACATCTGACCATTTCGATGATTGGGTATCCTTTGGGTATCCTCTCTTGACAGACATCCACAGACCCCCGTTTCTCCTCTTGAGAAGTAAGAAATAAAGAAATAGGCCGAGTCACGGTTCTCCGCAGAACATTAGTCTCATCAACGGCATAATTTTGGCAATGTTCTGCATAACGTGCATGCCATGTGAGACACATATGATACCAGACCCAATCTTTGCGCTTGTATCCTGCTCCAGGGTGCTCCGATTTGGCTATCTTGCATGGTATTATACCGGTCCTAATGGCATAGTAGGCCCCCATCCTAAACAGCTTACTCCTTACTTTCCCCCGCACGGTCCTCCGCCCCATTTTGAGATCAAGACAATATGGATCAATGCCGCCAATCCTCATTCAACCCGGGAATGAGTGAACGAAGCAAATGATGTCGGCAGGGCCCTTTTATGGACAGTGCGTGGGGATGCTTGACTTTGAACTTCATCATCAAAATCTGAAGGACAGAACCTAGCCCCTTAATGTTTGAGGAACAGTTACTCATTCATCAGTCAGACTGTGTATGACTCGTTCGATTCCGTATAATTCCCCGGCGCGGTGCGGCTCAGATAGACCAGGATGTACGCAGCCGGGACGATAATGCATAACAAAACCTAAAGCAGAGGATCTATCGTCCTCTCAGTTGACAGCAATGTCACTTTGTCCCATCAAATTCTCATAGTATTGCCGATTCAGGCCGGCCTGCGTCCTCGCCTCATGGTTGAATGGTTCCTTCAAGGCCCCTCGAAAATGCTTCTGTGCATTAGTGCGGAAGACGTGGATTGGGTCCGTGCCTTCTTGCTGACAGATCCAGGTCAACCAGCGATGCCCCGTCGTTACATGGGTGATCTCGTCGTTGTGAATAATCTCAAGCGCCTCAACACTTTCGGTGTCCCCCACCCGACGAAACTTGTCGATTGTCATGGGATTGACGTCGAGGCCGCGAGCCTCATGTACCAGTGCAATGACGGAAATCCGGGCTCGCAGATCATGAGCTGTGGCCGTTGCGGAATCCCACAGACCATGATGCACGGGCAATGCACCAAAGTAGGAGCCCATCTCTTCCATTCGTGTGCGAAGGAGGGAGAAATGCTTAGCTTCATCGTTGGCCACCTTCAGCCAATCGTGGAAATACGTTCGAGGGAGGCCCCGGGGAGTGTCTCCCGCTTGCGGCTGCGTTTGAAAGGCTGCGAACCGGATACAGATGTCGACGGCGAGATCGATCGCCCAGAGTTCGATGTTGGCCAGCGCATGCAGCATCGCAATGCGGCTTTTCAGCGTTCCACCTTTTCCCGCGCGGGGCATCGATCGAGGTTCCACAGTCAACAACCCGTCACGTGGTGGTTGATCAGGAGGCGTGACCGAGCCACTGCCAATCGGCATCGGCGAAGCGGTCTTCTCTCTTTCGGTGAATGTAGCGTACAAGTGAGCAGTCAGTTCGATCTTGTGTTCGTGATTTGAGGTATTCAGGATATGAGCGGCCCAGTCACATAATGTGGCATCCTCATCAAGGTACTTGGCCGGTGTCGTCTGTTGCGACAGGGGCTGTACGGTTGGACGATCCGAGGCAGAGCCTTTCTTGAGCTTGATCTTCTCGCTGACGGGGTCGAGTCGCACCAGAGAACCATCGCCCGGATACTGCACAGTGACCTGACCATCACCAAACTTCACAGGAAAAGTGCATGCTTTGATGCCCACACTCGACTCCCCCGTCTCGACATTAAAGTCGTACGCATGCCACGGACACGAGGCAATGTAGGCGGAATCCTCAATATCGACGTGGGAGTCTTCCATAGGCCCTCCAGCATGAGGACATTCGGCCTCCATGGCATAATAGCACCAGCCATCCTCCGTTTCATTTGCCGCCGGGCTGCTGCCTTTGGAAGACTCGATAGTCGGCAAGCGGAACAACACCAGACGCTTGCCGTCGGAGAGATGAATTACATAGCGCGATTGCTTGAAATCGGACAGCTGGCCGAGCTGAATAGCCTTCATCTTTCTCGCCTCCTTTCCAGTTGTCGCCAGACTGTAGATCAATTTTTCAAGATCAAGCTACCCACTCATCGCGATTTGGCGACCGGGAAACAAGACAATCTCTGAAGTCACGTGGTTTACTAAGCTCTGATTGGTGGGTCGAACATTTTTTTGGAACATTGTCCAGAATGGTCTAGCGTCACTGTTGCCTGATTTATGCCTCAGGTTTCAATAATATTCGCCCCTCTTAGGCATCTACAACAGTAGAGAGCATAAGAGGGGACTCCTTGAGTCAACTTATATGGGACGGCGTTTGATTCTGCCAAATATACAAAGTATCTCAATGAATATAAAGAAAAGAGCAAACAAAGACGAAGAGACTCTAAAGGCTGTACAGAGTACTTTCGCCTTTTGTCCTACTTGCAAGTCCAATATATATCTCGGTTGTCATTCTGGTTAAGTCCATCACCAAGACTTGGTCAAAGCCATTACATTCTGCTGTCAAGTCAAGCTCCCTCAACAATTGGTGTCTCAGAGTACACTGGCAAGGGGTAGCCCAAAAGGTGCGCCAGAATTTGCAGCGCCACATAACGAGCAAAATACCGAACTTGGCCCATCCCTCCTCCCACATACCATAGACCCGGATCTATAGTTCACAGACGTCAGTTCCAGTTGACAAGACGCAGCGCAGTCACTTTCCAGAAACATACATCCAGTAGGTACATAGCGCCCTTGACATCGCCGTCCTGGTTAATGCCCCAATCATCCTCCACCTGCGTGTGGATCTCCTCGCCAAAGTATTCTTGCACCGAGTCCCGGAAGTTCCCTGTAAATCCGGTGGCATAGACAACTACATCGACCGGGAGATGAGTCCCTTCCTCAAATATGAGACCGTCTTCCGTATACGACACCGGACGGCTGTCGGACTTGACCTTGATCTGGAGCCGATGAGCGCTGCCATCTGCCATTTCCTAGAAAAGTGACTCACCAAGATCCCTCTTTAAATGTACTAAAAGAGCTGTCTGTGAGCTCCAACACAGACTTGAATTCCTAAACCAGGATCTTGATGCACTGGAACAGATGGCCAGCGAAGAAATACTCAACATGCCGTTACTACAATGGAAAATCTCCAGGACATTCAAGGATGTCACCAACAAATGCGCCTCTCATTCAGCTGTTAAAGAAAGCATCCCAGGCAGATCCATCATGATAGCTGGCATTAACTTGTGCACCACTATTAATAAGCAGCTTTATTATTTCCTTATGGCCACGTGATAAAGCATGTGACAGTGCAGTCCGTCTATAATTATCACGGACATTGATATCTGCACCCTTGTCAATAAGTAGCTTAGCTACCAGCTCATGGCCCTTCTCTGAGGCATGGAAGAGTGGGGTCCATCCTTTATTATCCTTGGCATTGACATCTGCTCCCTTGCTAATAAGCAGCTCAGCCACTGCCTCATGCCCGTTCTCCGAGGCCCGTGAGAGTGGTGTTCTGCACTTCGCATCCATGCCATCAACGGTCGTCTCCGTCTGGAGAAGCAGCTTGACAATGCTTATTCGACCTTCCTGCGCAGCCCAGGATAGTGGTGTTCGTTTTGCGTATTGTTTCAAGTCTTTCCTGTAGTTCAGGCCATCGGTATCAACTTCACTGCACGCACTTGACGGCGATTCTAGAACAGTAGCAACAACGTCTTTGTCACCGTTGGCCAAAGCAGCAAACAGCGGATATCCGTATCTCTCTCCAGAAACATGAATATGCGGATCCTTTTTGAGTCTTGTGCGGATGAGCTCCGGGAATCCTTTGTCCGCGAGGATATAGAAGAGACTCGCATTTGAGCTGTATCCACGAACCTTGAACTTTTCAAAAATATTGTTGACACTGATCCAGTGGGACATGGAAAAAGAAGATAAGAACTCGTCTTGAGGAACTGCTCCGGCCGCAGCGTTGGCGTGATAGAGAACATGCTGACTGGCATACTCCAAAAACGGGTACTCATTTAACATGCCTGATTGCAGGTCATGTCTGTGTGACAGCACCTTACTAACAGACACACGCACTGAGGTATGATTCAAGTATGAGTCGCAACATTTTTTGAGTGTCTCATGGCTTGAGCTCTCCCAGTCAAATCCAAGGTCAGGCCACAATTCATGTAGACCCCTTTCTTTGACGAGGAAGTCTCGGACGGATTCATGGATGAATTGAACCGTTGGTTGCTTAGATTTTGTGACCTCAGCAAGACCTTTTGAGTTGCTGATAACACATCTGTTGAGTCTGCTAAGGCTGCCTGAGGCACCTGGGACGCCGACATCAGGGATTTGCTCATCAGCCTGATCTTCTAGTGCCAAACCAGACCAGAGAGCATGGTAGAACTCCTGCGGTTGCAAAGGCCGTTTTGCAAGTAGAATCCAAAGGATGCAAAGACGGAGACCCACCATATTCTCCTTATCGCGTCTCAGGATGTCCTTGAACAGCTCGCTTAAATCGCTAGGTAGTTCCGCGAGTCTGTTTCTCAAAGCCAGTCCATTATGCCGATATTCCTTGTTCAGGATATCGACGACTAGGACTACCCACATGAAAACACCCGCAGCTTTCCTGAGAAGTTGACTTTGCAGGTCTTCGAGAAGTACAGGATCTTTGATTTGGAGGCGGCTTGCGACGAAGGTTGCCAAGTCGTTGCCATGACCTGACTGGTCCTCCAGTGTAAGTCGGACTCCCCGTCGAATAACTATGTAGGGATAATGTCGACTGGAGAAACAGATCCGGAGTAGGACGCCTATATTCGTGCATTGTTCTGCCAGCTCTTCAAAGTATTGGACCATGTCCACAACTTGTTGTTCGCCACACTCATCGAGAGCATCGATGAAGCACATAAAGGAACGTTGACCGAGGGTGGAAACTGCGCTGCGAAAGAGGCCCTTAAGAACGTCCAAGGAAGGGCATCCATTCTGATTCTGAGAATTAATGTCAGGGTCATCTAAAACCGCCTGGAGATCAGGGTACCCTTCAAGCAGCTGGAGCAGCAATGATTGGTACATCCCTGAGATTGACTTTTCCAGATATTCGCCTCGAGCGTTGAAGAAAAAGGAAGCAGTGATAACATCCTTGTTGCGGGATTTGCTCTTCATACTTGAGTATGTGAACTTCATGATGGTCGACTTGCCCGCGCCAGGCTTGCCACTGATCCACAAAAAGCCATGATGTTGCGTTAGTTTTTCAGGATTAATCCATGCTTAGTAGTCAGGGTGGCTGAGAAACCATCGACATGTTTTGGCGAGGGCGGTTCTGACAGTTGATTTCCGAGCATCCATTTGCGCGAACCTAAGGCAATCCAGCAAGCGCCAACGGTGTTCTTGCAATGAACATTGATCTGCACGTCAGGTGTGAGCGGGCAATGACTCTTCCCAGTTCTCCTAAGCTAACTTACGAGTATTGGGCATGCAGGTAAATTTTGCATGCGCTTTGGCCACGGGTAGCTCCTCGAGTAATTCCCTGGCGTATGCGGCCGCGGTTGCTGCAGCATACCTCTGCCATTCCTTGCTCTTGTGAGAATCTGAGTAATCGCATATTCCCCGAATTGGGAGACAAGGGAGAATGTCCATCAGTCCAGCAGCCTCCATTTCAAAACATATGACATCTAATTCTCGAGCAATGTTGTCCCGGGTAGTGCCGCTTCTCATGACTTGGTTCCCTGAGGCGATCGCGCCGTAATGAATCATGATATTGTCCGACATCCGTCTGCTTCGTGGAACCAGCTTCAACTGGTCACACCCATCACAGCTGGCCGTTGTGGATTCATGCTCATACGTCGCGTGGAAAAGTCGATCCGGGGAGCTTGGGCGACCGTATTCAGGGTGTCCTTCCAGCTTCAGCCGTAGGATGGATGGGACCCGACTGGGGTTCAGCTCATGTTTCGAACGGAGGGCAGATACAGCTGTCCCAAGCAAATGGGGAGGAATCCTAGGGATTGCTGTTCGTCGGAGCTGTCCATTTCCAACGACTTTCCCAAGATCATACTGCATCACCCTTGTTCCAACGACAACGTCACCTAAGCGCACATCACCCTTGCTCAGCACGCCGCCACCAATCCCGACCAGCAAGCCCGCGCGGATAGCGGAGAAGGTTCGCTTTATATTGGTCATGACATTCGCCGCGTTGTTCGTTCCACACTGGGCTGCTGGCAAGCACGCAATGACAACATTGTGCTGCTTGATGCTTCCCAGTACATAGGTGTTGCTGTCCTCTGCATGCCTGGGTAGGGATTCGTGGACCTCATCCAGCATGGCCCGAGCTGCTGCCATCTCTATGTGCAGCGCGCAGACCCAGGCGATGGTATAATCTTCGTGCCGTGGGGTGGATGAACTGTCAAGGTGGACAGTCTTTTGTCGCTTTGGAGGGTGATACAAGCTTGTCTCAGTATCCTCTTCATACCAAACACTTCTCCCATCCATCTCAGCAATATGTCCATCAGGTTATGATGACAGGGACGACTTTACTCGGCGGGTAAACACGGTATGGGTAGATGCTGCTGGATGGTAGAAAGGTGTCTGGTAAAAGGCGATTCTCGCAAGAATTTTCAGGGGAGCCGTATTTGGACTTGGTAGGAAGAAGAGCTGAGAGGTCGAATGTGCATCAGGCTAACCATGCATGCACAGCCACCACAGGTTGAGCGCTCAGCCTCAAAACATCAGAAGAGAAGGCTGGCACGTCACAGTAAGGTGTTCAATAGATTGTGACAAGAAAGAGATTTTATCCTTGCTGATGCAGCCTGCGAAATGTGTATGTATGTGTATACCCGACAGCCAGCAAGGTGGGGTTGGCAGCCGTACTTTAGGCAGACCTACACACACAGCAGCCTACGAGGAGGAGTTGATTTACTGTCTTGCGAGAGTTCAAATGGATATTCAAATATGCTATGTCTGCCTTTGGATGATCTCCCCTCAAACCCCATTTGCAACCGGCGAAGTAGCATCTCTAAGCTTGAGTACTGTTTGTAAATGCTCGTAAGCAAGTGGCTTCTCCTGCGACCATGCCAGCAAATGAGCTGTCTTGAGCACGTTCTTGATCTGTCGGCCATTCAACGATACTCCTGCCAAAGTCTCGAGCTGGTCATCGGAGAATTCCTCGGTTCCTGCGGTGCGAGTCAGGAACTGCTGCCAGATATGGCGTCGGGAATTAATGTCCAAATCGGGGTAGACGATGGAGACGTGAATTCGAGATTCAAAAGCTGGGTCAATGTTTCCAGCGCGGTTGGTAGTCAGGAAGAGGATGCCCTGGATGATAAGTGTCAACGTATTGGTATTGATAACGAAACAAAAAATCTCACCTCGTAATACTCTAGCATACGTAGAAAGATCGACACCAACTCATTCCTCCACAAGTCCGTTGAGTTGCGAGCTTCCATGAACACATCGGCTTCGTCGAGCAGAAGGACCGCACCCCACTTGGGAATCATCCGCAGGATATCTTTCAACGCCTCCTCTACGCTCGAGGCCGACGTCCCCAGATCTCCCGCGCTCATCACATACAGCGGCACCTTCATCACTTCGGCAACGCTCTCCGCAGTGAGCGTCTTACCCACTCCTGGCGGCCCGCTCAGCTGCATGATGATTCCTCGTCCTTTGCCCTGGACCACGTCATCAAACGAATCCGCTTGTTTTGACTGCGCATTGGCAAAGGCCAGAATCAGCGTCTTGAGATCCTGTTGACCCTGCGGCAGTACCAGGGAATTGAAGGCCTGCGAATCCCACACGATCTCTTTGACACTGTCGAGATTGAACTCCAGCCACCGTTTCTCCTTGAGCGAATATCCACGCAAATTGGGAGGGCCAGCAGTCGCTGGTCATCTGTGAGTTCCTTTCCACAGGTAGGATACACTGAGACGGACTCGTCTGGGTTGAAGGTGTTGAACGCCTCAGCGTCGATGATGATGCGGCTTTTGATGTTGAACTTGAATTCCCTTCTCATGAACCGACCCACGGCCAGGCCTTCGTAATACTTGAAATAATACCCCTTGTATTGCTCCCAGACCGCTCCACGTGCGACCAAGGCGTCGCGAACGGAAATCTGGTCACTGTGATGTCTTAGGGGAAACACCGGAAGAGCCGTGATGGGCATGGTGCCACCAAACGGCGGCACTTCAAAGTCCTTGTCGCGGAATCCAAAGTCATCACCGTCGAAATCAATGTATTTAGCTTCGAGATCGAATGCACCGGTCCGACAGTTGGTCTCGCCGGACTTGAACCGAAAGGCTCGGGGGCGACCGCCGACCATACTGAAGATCTCACCCTCCGGCTCGAAGATGGTCCAGAGAAGATCATGGGTGACGACGCCGTTGAGCACAAGGTCATTTTTACGGGCAATCGTATCCCGTAGCTCCTCTTCGAGGATAGTGTAGAGAAGTTCTACGTGCGATTTGGTCACCGAGTCTAGCTCCTGGTCACGCGCACTGGCGAATCGCTCCCATCGATGAACGAAAGGCTTGAAAGGACTGCGGAATTCCACTCGCTCCAAGGTCATGGTTACCCCTGGATAGCCATCGAGTACTTTTCCGAGGACCTTTTTCAGACACTCGCTCTGCACAACAATGGAGTGGATTTGGAGAGGTTTGCGACCATCGTAGCACTTGACATGGCGGACAATGAGAGCATACTGAGCCGACTCAGAGTTCTCATCTGCGCTGGGAAGATCATCGGGCTTCTTCTTTGTCCATGAAGTGCGACCATTGTCATCGCGCTTGGACTGGTAGAGGTTGTGAACCTCGCAGATCGTCCCTGGAGGAGCATACTTGACAGCCTCGGCCTCATCATCTGCATTATCCTCTGTATCTTTCTTGCTGGGGGCAATGGTGTTGTCGTTGATGACCTCCATTTCCTCCGACTCACTGTCTTCGGAAGGAACGCGTCGAGAACGACGTGAGTAACGCATAGTGAAGCCTAAGGTAGAGATAGATGTTTCTCCAGTCGGTGACCCCGGAGGAGGGAAGTGGCCACTCTTATGCTTAAGTGACGGCTACCAGGCAGCGGTCCCTAGTCGGAAACCAGTGAATGTGCCTTGTAGGAAATCAGCCTCGTCAGTCTCAGCATGATTCGGACGGGTTCCAGTACACAGTGCATCCCTGTCATTCACTGGTTGACGTGTTCGCTCGACGGCCTTGTGAGTCACTCCCTCTCTTCTGCCTGATTTCAGCCGCGGCTCTAGATCGACGCCTTTCAGCCTCGTCACCATCACCAATCATTCAATGTGCGGGGACCCAATTGATCCTCACGATGAAGGTTATGATATCAGCTCATTGAATCAGATTGACAAATCATGTAGTAGACATGGTTATTTCTCAATTGTTGACTCTGCTGCCTTCATCATGTCCTGCAGCACTTGCAACGCAGCATCCTCCATTCCTAGAGGCACAAAGATGTGATCGTGGAAATACCCACTGACCACATTGGTACTGATTCCATGACTAGCGAGCTCCGACGAGATGGCAGCAATTAGTCCCACGGCCTCCAGGCTGGAATGCACGGCCAATGAGATCTTCTTGCAGGGAAACATATAGTCGTGCAACCCATGTGACTCGGCCAGATCTTTAGTGGTGATGATGCTCAAGCCCTCGTCTTCTTGAAATAGCATTTCTGGTTTCAGAGATTGAAGGGGGAGATTTTCGATTCGCTGCGTTGTGGTGAGAAAGACAAACGTCTCCAGGTGTACAGTAGGTCGCATCGAAGCCAGGAGGATGGGAATGTTGTTTTCTCCTTTGCTTGGCGAAGACATGGTCAATTTGGGATTTTCCGATTGAGATGAATACAAAACCTCGTTTTAAGGATCAGATCTAGTATAAAGGATGATCATGAGGAAATGCGACCGGTGGAAGTGATGGATGAGGACACACCGACACGGGATTCGGATATCTGTCTGGAGGAACGAAGACATGATGTGTGTGCCGAGGCTATTGCCCATGGGCTCTAGACTGGTCGTCGGTGGGTTGGATATGGGTTGAACCCCCTACTATTTACGGAGTAATTTACCCTCAAATCCATGCGGGTTGGACTACTTGGGCTGCGGACAATGGATATATTACTAGACTAAGGTAGTATTCTGATTACCACCTAATTTCTAGTATTCTAACCACACCCCTATATATTTTATTTGATTATATTCGCTCAAACGTCATTTCCCGAGCCAGCACTCAGACGACCTGAGATCCAGTGCGGAGGAAGTCCTATGACGCTGTCGCGACAATCTTGCCATGCAACATCGGGTTTTGTGGCGACGTAAGATTTGACCTCTCTCGGATGGATGGTTTGTACATGTAGACATTTCAAGTCTGGGGGAGTATAGTGAATATATTGGGATGGTAATAGCAGGTGGTGCCTGATAATCCCGGCAGGCCAGCAGACATCACACTTGTTTTTCTTTTGGGGCAACCATCTGTTTTCTCTCTCTCTCTCTCTCTCTGTGTGTGTGTCTCTTTTCTCACACTCAGCTCAGTTCATCATCCTCATCATCTCCTCCCTACTGATAGATCAGTCAACTTGCGGCGATACTTAATGGATTGCGTGCTATTGTGCTATTGTAACATGACAAAGCTGGCCACTTCCCGTCAATCCCTGCTACTGTCGCCTTACACCTTCCATTCCTTCTTCAGCTGAGCGAGCCATTCCTCATAGGTCAAAACCCGTCCTTCCACCAGAATTCGGTTGGCCTCCACCTTCTGTGGTGGAGTCGGAATATATACGAAGTCCTTTGCATGGGTTGCCCTACATACTTGGAACGGCATGGCCCCAGTCCGCAGCAGCTCCGAGCAATCCTTGCAAAAGCCCGTGTCAAAGCAGATCGAGCACAACGAAATGCCTTCCATCGTCTGGAATCCCCTTCGGCACGGTCCATCACAAGTGTACCCAAACTCGGAATACTCGTCTTCCTCACTCTCCGCCTCTTTTTTATCCGCATATCCTCCGAGAGCATAAGCAATCGCAATCACATTCTTGACGTCGCCGGCAGCGAGGAGAGCATTTTGCAAATCAGTCAAACCTGCGCTGTCGTTCTCTGGGTCATCGTCGGATAAAATCTGTATAGCCCGTTTGACGGAGGGAGCGAGTAGAGCGCGCGCCTCATCGTGTCGGCCAGTCAGGCGGTACCACAGTCCCAGAGAAATGGCCCGCGCCCGCGCGGCGATCCAGAAAGCGGACGTGTCCTCGGTCTTGTATCGTGCTACCAACTGCTCCAATTGGCTGACGTACTCCTCCGCCTCGGGGGAACCCACGCCGGCATCGATGGCATGGCACAGCCAAAGTTGGGCCAGCTTGGAGGAGGCGATCACCTTGGCCGCACCAATCTCGCCTTCTTCCTTGGCGGATCCATACGTGTTAAGGATCCTCTCCCACCGCTTCGTCGCCTTGTCTTCCTCTCGGGTGTATTCGGAATAGATACGCGCCAGCGAAAGGTCCAAATTAGCCGCGACCACCGTCATGGACGACTTTCGGGCCGCTCGCGCCGCGTCGCGGTACGAACGGACTATGAGGTCGAGGTTCCCCGTAGCCTGGCCAGCGACGGCTAAGTACTCAAGGACATCGTCATCCACACTTGGCATCTCCCATAGAAAGTTGGTCAGTCGATTGTACTCTTTATCAGAAACTTGTGCATCGGCGAATTCTTTCACAAGAGCGATGGTCTCGTCGAACCGTTTCGTTTCGTTTTGGAAACGCAGGATCGTATATGTGCACGCGCTGCAGCAGGGATTAACCGCGAGAGCTTTCTTGATCTTAACATAATGCTTCTCCACTTGCCCCAGCTCCTTATAGCAGGATGCCATGCGTTCCAGTACTGTGTGCAAGTGTGCAGTTAGCCTTCTCTTCTCATCAGGCTGGTCAATGAGCTGCCTTTCCAGAAGTTCTTCTACTTCCTCATCGAGCGCAAGGGTTGTTGTCCATTCTTTCCTACTCGCGTGTGCTATGGCCATGCCTGCTTTGGCGATCCAGTTGTTCGGATCTATTGCGGTTGCCTTCCCAAAGTAGTCCAGAGCTTCGTCTATGTTTCCGGTCTGGCGCAGCACTATGCCGATCCTTTGGTACCAGCGGGATGTCTTCTCGATCTGCGCCCATTCGGCAGCCTCGACGACCTCAGCGGCAGTCGGTGCAAAACGGGAAAGAAAATCCTCATCGATCCCTCTTTGACATTTGAGATAGCTGATAATCATAGCCGCCGGGGCCGCGGGTGACCAGTCGTCTTCAGCCAACCATTTCTTGGCGCAAAAATCGGCGATGGGTCGGAAGGTCTCTACAGGCTTCTCCTTGACGGAAAGGACGAACTTGGCCTCCTCGGCTGCAAGCGACTCGACGATCTCGGGATCATCCCACCAGCGTTGAATGGCCTTCAGGTTTTCGCTTGTCGAGACCCAGCTTCTCATTGGCACCCATCTGGCCATGTACTCTTCCGTACCGAACATCCTGGCCAGCATGCTGGCGATTGCCTTCTTGTCCTCGAGCGAGGTCTCTGAGGGCTGCACTAAATGAAGGTGTTGCACCCAATTCCTTGCGGCGTAGGTCTTCATGAGGCTGGAGTCCTTCGCCTTCTCAGAAAACTCGGTATCGGTGAGGACCTTGAGGCACGTGCTGAGGACATGAGCTTTGGCATCTTTATAGACAACTCCAACCGGCAGTTTGTCCTCCGCTGCAGAGACCTTGCCTTCGTTTGGGTCACGGAAGAAATCGCCCAGGGATGCGTGGCTGAAGGTGACGGTGGTTGACTTCTTGTTCGAATCAAAGTCTATAATGTTCTCAACATCTTCAAAAGCGTCCTGATCATCGCTATCCGGTTTAGTAACATCTTCATCTTCATCGTCTGAGTCATATGCCCTGTTTGCCATAGTCTGGAGCTCCGTTGTGGTCAGACCGTCCTCGCGGTCGAGGTTGAAGAAGGCAGCGAATTGCCTGCGAAGGGCACCTTCGAGGTAAATCATCCCATCTCCCTCGGCTGACTTCAACTCGAGGATTGCCTCCACCTCGCCAAGGGTCAGAGGACGAACGGCGCAGGTGGCCCACAGCAAGAGCTCGTTGAGAAATTCCAACTCTTCATCGTTCAGACTGGCGGAGAAGCTCAGGAGGACATGGCGCAGCATCTCCTTCAAGCCCTTGGGCGCCTGCTCGAGGCTCTTACGGATACTGGACTCGTTGCGCTTCTTGACTAGCTCCTGCAGCATCAGGTTCACCCACAGAAACATGCCCTCAGCACCCGCAGACAGTTTTTCGGTAATCTCCTTTCGTAGAGCTGGTGAGACGCGTCGCAAGACCGCTGATTTCTGGATGCTGGTTTTGATGTATCGGTCAATATCAGCGGAATTTTTCAGCGTTGTCACATTTATTGTCGGAACGTTGGTTTCGAGCGCTTCAGCCAGCTGGTCGCTGACATGCGGCCGTCCAACCATGGCCAACTGCAAACGGCCGTGATTCGGGGAGTCGAGAATGTCCTTGGCCAGCTGCAAGAAGACGAGTCTTTCCTCCTCAAAGGCCTCATCGACCGCATCAAAGAGGATATAAACACTGCTCGTGATTGATTCTTTCTTCAAGAAGTAGTTGACAAAAAGGGTCCGCCACGCACTCTCCAAAGTGCTGGTGCTCCCATAATCCCCAAGGGCTGCAAGGTACTTCTCATATGCTGGATCATTGCTGCTGATCTGATAGGCGAGATCCCGCAGGGCCTGGTGGAATGACCTCGTGGCGGGGTTGTCATCCTTGAAGAAGAAGTACCCTATGGAGACATGTGAGGAATGTTGTACCCCTTGCGGGTATTCGTCTTTGAGGGAGGCGATAATGCTCGATGAAAGATAGGATTTGCCAGCTCCAGGATTACCAGAGATAAACATGACCGGGAGGTCTCGATGCAACCAGCCCTGGAACACTTCTTCGCGCCTAACCCAATCTCCGGTGCCAGGA